CTAACCACCAAAGTCTTAAGAACTTTAGGCAGCCTCCTTGCTTCACAGGAGTGCCCAATACCTCGGTAACAAGACCTGAAATCTGGTTTGATACTACCATTGATTACATGACGCAATCGGGCAGCGATCCCATAATGGGCATGTGATATTATGTTACGGGCAAAGCTGCAGAGTTGTACCACGACTTATTCGCACGCAAAGGCTCCACGCTCACAATTCAGAGCATGCGTGATGACTTCGTGTTGTTTTTCGGTGACGTGCGCCATTGCACCCCTCACCACGTACGAACACAACTACATGCCGGTGCACACGCGATGAAACCCGGCGAGTCCATACCGAATTACGTGCAACGGTTCCGCGAAATTACGCGCGGTGACCCTAACATGTCTCAAATTGACTTGTGCACTTGGCTTATTCACGGTATGCCACCGCAACTGCGGCGGGAATGCACCATGGATGCCAACGGCAATAACTGGTTTGCATTCGACGCTTTAGTTAACTATGCCCAAGGTGCACAAATGCGCCACAAGGTGGGCAAGGCGCAAACCGCGCGACTTAACTTTTTAGGCACGAACGATGCCCCCGCCCACCCCCGACAGAATGGCGGCCGTGGCAACCACACCCAACGGGGTGGATCCAACAACCACGCCGACCACAANCACCGAGGTGGCCGCTACGGAGGCCGCGGTGGTGGTCCTGGTGGCGCCTATGGCGGCCGCGGCCGAGGCAGCCACACGGAAATGCCAACATGGGTTTGGGAGATGGGCAAGGGCCAAAATATCTTCTACCATTGTGGAGAGCCCTTTGGCAAGGGCCACCTATGCGGCAAACGGCCGCGTTACAACAACGAGGACCGCAAAAAAAAGCGGATGCCTAGGAAGTTGCCCACGCCGTAGCCTCGGCAGCTCGTGTGGGGACATAGAGGAACCAACCCGGAATCCACCAACGGTGGACTGCAGCCACTGCGTACTTCGTTCAGTATTTTGCGTCTGCAGAAGGCCTCGGGTCGGGTGTTCACGTTCATCTTGTAACGTACGAAGCGACAATTCCCTCTGTCCTAACTTTGCCTGTCCAGACTCGTTCACTTCGCATAATCTTAGTGGACAGCATATCTGGTGCAACGCACCAGCCGATCGCGCGATTCCTTGGCTGAATAACTTCAGCACTTTTAAACAGCGCGCTCCGGACACAACTAGTGCGGTTATTTTGGTGCCCAAGTGTGCCCACCTAGAAAAGGAATTTCAAACACGCGGTTGGACCTTACTCAAAGAGTTTACAAAAAACTCCAATATCTTCTCCGAACCTAAACCCGGAGGTGGTCGCACCAGGTCCCCAAACTGCAGCGGCGAGTTTCAAGCATGGCTCGACCCCTGCCAGGAAAAGTCCAAGTGTTCTGCACTAGAACCTCTGACTGAAAACACCGCGCCACTACTACCGTGCAACTTTACTAGCACAAAAGCTGTCGCCTTAGTCGACTCAGGTGCTTCGCACGTTTTCATATCCGCCACACTTGTGCAAAAACGGGGTTTACAGCCCCTCACTAGCCACGTAGCTACTTGCATGCTAGGAGACGGCGCAAATAGCGCCCGCCTCCAAGGTCAGGTGCATACGTCGCTCCGTATCCACGGATTCCGCTGCAAAATCGTAGCGCAAGTTATCCCCAATTATCCACCTCACTCAAGGCGCCCCGAGGACGGGTTCGCATTCAAGAGGGGGGGAATGTAACGCCGCTAAGGCGGCCCTTGGCTCACCGGGCCAACGGTATCGTACCAACGGTACATCCAAGAACTATTCATAATCTTCCAATACCAAACGGTATTTATCAATACCACCTTTTATCGTTGGATAATTTCCTTTTTCGCAACTGCTTGCCAACTGCAAGCTTTGTTACATCCTTGCTGACCTGGCAGGAAGACTCAAAATCGTCCAAACCGACCCAACTTCCAATTGTTTTTGAAATCTGAGGCCAATTTGGATACAGTTTTTTGGACAAAAACATCTAGGACGCAATGTGAAATAGCCCTTGTTACGGCATGCGTCAATTGTCATTCGGGAGGTTTACGGTCATAGCAGCTATATTACAGCTGCTTATTATGCGAAAAGAAGACATGATTAGGATATAATGCTATTAACATTACATGCTAAGTCCTAGAAATCAATGAAATGGTCGCATCCCCTTTCATCATGTTTATCGCCGTCCTGGCGTTCTTCCACTGCAGCGAATTCCTGCTGGCCTGCATATTCATGCGCGATGAGTTGTCAATACGATGTGAGCCATTTGCACTGTGATAGGGCACTGTCTTGGGAAAGCACTATAGTGTTGACTTCTTGGTTTCGTTTCACTTGAGCGACGGGTTGCGGCCATGGGGAGGAGTCACAAGGAGCCACGGACCACCTGTGCACCCTTGCATCCCACAAGCCCGTCCCCTAACGCATCCCAAGCATGGTCCGCGAGACCCTGACGCGAGGACCTGGGACAGTATAAGGGGCGGCACACAGTTCGGGCGGCAAACACCTCGGGCGGTGCAGGAGAGGCGCCTGGATGCCCTGGAGCACTTCACGCTCCCCAAATCAGTCCAAAAGCTGCTTCCTGCCCTATACACCCCGGCAAACCGCGGTTTCCCCCTTCTGCAGCTTGGCTCATCAGCAAGGCCTACGTCACAGCCATGGCCTTCGCCTTGCTGGAGTACCTGTTGGAGGCCTGCGCTGTACCGTCGATCAAGATCGGCGATGGGGGCATGGTGCGTCCGTTTGCGGCTGTTTAGAGACCCCCACCTTGACCTCGGGGGTGCGCCGAACCCAGATGCGAACCTTACGGAAGGCCCCGATGGGGGAAAGGAACATGCAGGGGTCCTTCGCCACTTACACGCCGATACACGCGGGTCAGGCGCCCGGTTGCCAGCTCTCGTGTACCTGCTTGAGACGACCCCGGCCCCCTATCGTTTGTTCCTGGCCTCGCGGTTCTGTTCCTGTCCTGATCCTATCTTGCCCTTGTGGCTGACTGCCGAATCGCAAACTCATGCCAAACCTCGCCCACTGCACCCACACACTGTGGAGCCGTAAGAGGGCACGATTATGTGGAAACTGCATGTTGGGCCGCCGCATGCTGTGGCTGCCGCAGGGCACCATATCGTGGCTGGGCCTGTCTCTCGTGCTGCTGGGCGAGGGGATACGCAAGCTGGGCATGGTAGGTGCAAGGGGCAGGGCCTGGGTCTCTGCATGCTCTTTTAGCTGCTTCACGGTGGGCAGCAGCCCGGTCGCTCTTTGCTTTTGCTGGCCTGCTAACCTGCCCCGTCTGCTAACCTGGAACGCCGTCGCTGCCTGCACAAGGAGCAAAACGTCGAGTATGCTATGCCCAAGTGTTCGGAGTACATATGCATCCAGCCGTGCACCCTTACATCATGAGAGCATGTATGTACCGTATACTTCGTCGCCACGTGCAAAGGTGTGCAGGCCATTCAACACCTATGCGCGGGCTGCGCGACCGTTTTGTAGAATGCATATGCTGGTGTCAAGCGTTCGAGCCCCGCAAGCCCCGTCGTCCGCCGTCGCTCGGCCGTAGAAAGAGCAGTGCTATGGGGGAGCCAACCCTATAGCCTACACCCGTGTAGGAATGTGCGCACACGCGAAAACTTCCCGCCTCAAACCAAGTGAAGAATAGAAATACTTCCAATAGAGTGAAAGAAGTGAGGGAGGCCATCTCAACCTATAACGAAGCAAGCCCCAGCGCACTCAGCCAGGCAACGGAAAGATCCAGTTGCTCAGATTTTACGTGTACATAAAACGTCCACGTCCATCGGAGCACAGCACCGAAGCGCCTTCCCAAGCACCCCTCAGGCTCTCATATGCCGTGACTCAGTCAGACGCCCGTTACCAATGCCTCACCATCATGCCCTCCTATAATACTGTTCTGATGATGAAGTTCCTGTCGAAGGCCATCAGTTCATACAAATCTCCGGAAAAGCAAATATTTCCCCTCCTGCGCGATGTGAAGGCTCCGTTGTGCGGCTCGCTCTTTCAATTCTCCTCTGTTCTTCCTTTCTTCGCCATTCTAGGACGTTCCGGACTAGCCTGCCGCTACCTTGGCGGCATCCGCCTCTTATACCAATTCACCGTATATCCGTGCACATTGTTGGAGCCACGTGCGCTATCCAGCCCACTTCTCGATTCGCCGCGAGGAGTGCTGCCCAACACCGGAACAGAGCAGACACGTCCGCACCGATCCGGTCCGGGGCCGCAATATGTCCGGAGTCGCTGAAAAAACGACGTTAGAGAGGCATGGCATGCTGTCCGTACCCAAATGCTGATGCCATGCGTGTTGTGCACATATCGGGGTGCAAAGTCCTCGCGCCTCTCTCCCTCCCTGTTATCACGCTCGTCTTCCAGAACAATCCCCCACGTCTAATGCCGACTCTTGTCTCGTCTCGCCATCATCATCATGACCGCATGCAAACCATTTCACGGGCGGCGTACTTCAATCCCGCCCCAAGAGCCGCACCCAGGCAACACATTCATCGTCCCACTCTCAAAGAACCGACCTGGCCCTCGATAACAACACGACAGCACACGACCTTAACATGCAGAGCTGACAACCTATCATGTTTTTATCCCTACACCCGCCCAGCCGCATGGTGTTTTGCGTGTGCTATAAATTGTGTGCGCATGCAGATTACCGCGAGGTCAAACTTCACTCACAACATCCGTACGAAGCGACACCCAACACACGTCCTCGTGACGCGAGGCATATACAGGTACGTGCTAACAGCCGGGTCAAGCAGCCCGAGGATTTGGCAGCAAGGGTCAAACGCTTGCGCGGCCCCTTAATGAAGCTACCGCACGGACGCCGGTGCGGTCCTGCCAGCCGAGAGCACAGCAAACCATACCGGCGTTCTCACGCCATGTCTGATACTATCGTATCCAATGCGACCAGTGCCCGCCCAATCAACCCACAAGCACGTACACATACTACACACCACGCACATACGGTACATATACACGATACACGGTAATTAGTGTTGTTGTTCTTCTCAGTGATGTTTTGGGAAGGGGGGGCAGGGCATGGACAGTACTGACCATGACAACTGCAACTGCCCAACTGCCAGTCACGCACACCCTGGCAGCTCAAGCCGGACGCACCAACTCTCCACATTTTAACGTTCTCTCGTTCGAAGTCTTTGCTTTGCTTCCAACCACTTCATGCCACTTGAGGAACCTCGCTGTTGTCGCAACTGCAACCCTAGCTCTCGCTGCTCCGGCACACGCCACTGTGCCCCCCCCCCATGGCCCATGCAATGCCTTGACCTGCCCAGGTTCATCAGGCATCCTGGCTACCTGGGATGGTTCATGTGGTGCTTGGGCACTCAGATGCTTCTGGGCAACCCTATCTGCGTCATAGGCTTCGCCGTCGTGGTAAGCCAAAGGTAGTGCGAGCGCGAGTGCGTGTGCGCACAGCACCTGTTCCATTCTAGGATCCTCATCCACGTAACGTGCGAACGGCAGAAAGTTCTCGACGTGTCCCCTAGCAACATAGCAGTACACGAAGGCCAGCGGCGGCCGGACAGGACCAAAGGCCAAAGCAGGGTAGGAAGACCCGACGAGAACGCGCTGACGTGGTCAAGCAAGAACCCGATGCGAATTATCCGCGCCGTTTTGTTAGGAGGTTGGAGGCGGTTGACGGCAGAGAAGGCGCCAACTGCAAACTGCCGACCGAGCACTGAAACTATGAAAACATTCGCACACTTGCCGAACAAACGGTTATGGGCAGCCAAAGGACACAAGCAGGTGCTACTGCCTATCGGTGCCTCTGTGGCCACTGATGCGATTAAGCAGAAACACAACAGCCAAACCTTTACAACCCAACAGCTACAGCGCCGTACATTGACACGGTACACGTACATGCAGCTTCATGGCAGCGGCTTAGCTGGTCATAAACAATTGTGCATCAAAACGTCATGATGCCCCAGACAAGAACCGTATAAGTCACGAAACGACAATCGGGATTCGTAGTACACATACATACACTTTATCAAGGCAAGACAATGCCAGAACAGCTTTCCTTTCCTTTCAACAAACATAACTATTCGCTGCCAAGCACAAAGCATCAGAACATAAAACCTTCTTTTCAATCAAGCTTAGCAAGACCCGACCATTTCAAGTTTTTGGCGATGCCGCTGCAGGGCGCTTGCCGCATACCGTTTCATCCCATTCACTTCCGTATGGACACCGACGCAGCTTATCCTGCTAGAAGAGGTCAACTTCCGCAGCCGAATGCGCTCACAAAAGCCGGCTCGCGCGAATGTTTTCGCACGACGCCTGCATCCCTACACAAGATTCCCTCCACTCGCTCCTCTTCCCCCCAACTCCCTTTCGCTCCCGCCTCGGCTTAGGCCTGGCGCTTCTTCTCTTCGCGCATCGCAACCGAGGAAACCTATCTGCGCCAGTTCTTCGGTGACGCCTACGATACCTACGCCGCCCGCACGCCCACCTGGATTCCCTTCATTCCGTGAGAGAGGGCACGGAACGAGGAATCTGCCAGGAAGCACGCGCCCAGGTGGCCTTCCTTGGCCCGGACGCCGTACACTCCTCCCAGGCACCTACGGCCCATCGACCGCTTTTCATCGCGTGCTTCGTTCCTGTACGCAAGAGGACCAGGCTATCGCAAGCCCTATACCAAACAAGAATTACAAGCTAATTGTGGAGCTGCCACCGCGATACGACACAATGAGCCGCGGTGCGGAATTGGTCTCTCCTCATATCCGCGCGACGCTGCCAAGGGGCCGGCGGACACATTCTGCTGGTGTGGGCCATTAGCGGCGCCCCCTCCAGCTAATATGCATCCTCCTGCTAATATGTCTCAGCGCTGCTGCGCCGACGGCCTGTGCTAGCAGAGATACGCCATGGTTGTTGAGGCAAAGCGCCTACGCACTGTGAGGACCCGCGTAATTCCCTGCAGCACAGTGCAGAATGCTGTTAATGGTGGAGTGCGGAATGGTCGACGAGTCTTAGGTGTGTCGCGGAGAAGCCTCGTGGACGCAAAAAATGCTGCGCGACATCGAGGGGTCACAAGGCCGCGGGCGCATAAGACTGCCGCATAAGACAGCAACTGTGAATTACGGTTTTCAAAGCAATGAACCCTATAGTCAAGACACGGGCATGCCGGCGTGGTTTTTAGGTCGAATGCAAGGCACGCAGGCAACACTGCTTTCGCACGCAAAAGGTTAGGCGGCCTTCGTACACGAGGGAAGCTTCTCGCCCTCAATGCGTCGTGCGCCCGCCCACCCGCTTATCCCATGCCAACCTTCCCCAACAAACAAAATTCAAAATGTGACTCGAGACAACCCGCCGCGCAACCTTACGAGCCGCAGGTTCTATGCCTCAAAATAATGACCATGTAACTCAACCTGAGCACCTTCTGTAAAATTGTGAAAACATTGTGCCCTAACCGCCGCTGCCCCCTGTCCCAGCGCGCTGCATCCCGCTCCGCGCTGGCCCACCAAGAATGCCTCGCCGATGTCAGGAAAGCCCGGGTCCGCCAAGCAAGCAGCACACGCACCTGTTCCAGCCTCGAGCCTGTTGTCATCCAAGCCCCGTGCGCCAAAGAGTCGCGCCATTAGCCCGGGCTTCCGCGACCGCTGATTCTCCTCTCCTCGCCGCAGTAGGAGGAGCCCTGTGGCAGGGAACGGTGCAAAGGGAGCGCAGTACGGATCGCCATGAAAGCCGGATCATGGCTAGGTTTAGACTTAGGGTTGTGCGAGTAGAAATTCCGCAGCGTAGGATAATTTTGCCGCCATGGTTCCATAAAGCCGCTGGGGTTGCAGCTGATGTAGTATGGTGGGTTTTGACGTGCTGACGTTAAAACGGAATCACCCGCTCATGCTTGCGTTTGCACGTATTCCAAGCAACGCTTCGTCGTCGGATAGCAGCTAGGTACGTGGCGACACAGGTATCGTGAACGGAGCCCCGCATGCAAGCGCGGCTAGCAGCTAGCCGAAATGCAGAAGATGATGTTGGAGATTACCAATATTGGCTGAAACCCATTTTCCCCCCCCCCCGCACTGAAAACGCGCCATAAAGCCCCAGCGCATCTCTGTTTGTTACGCCTATTGCGTTGGCCAGACCGCGGCAACCCACACACCATCTGTTCCGCTGATACTTCACACCGCTACACATTTGGCTGGTTCACCGTAATGATGGCCAAGGCGCCGCAGCTTACGTACCGTGATTTGCCAGGTCGCGCTGCATTTCGTCGGCGAAGAGCATAATGTCCTCCACTGCGTGGCCTACGTCAGGCGTTAATACGGGGCCCTCGCGACTTTCTGCAGCGGCTGCGCCGGCTTTGCCGCCGTCGTCAGCAAAGGCATGGAAAGGGCGGTAGAAGCGGCCAGAGGCCGAGGGCTGATCCCGTTGCGTACTTCGCGAGGCTGCAGGGCGGGTTGCGTCTGCGTCAGCTGGCTGCGGCACTGACTCTAAGCTACGCGCAGGTACCAAAGTGTGGCCCTCTAACAGCGGCTCCCTGGTCTCGATGCTGGTGGTCGCCAGCCGGTCCACCCTGCTGTAAAATTGAAAGGCACGAACAGTTGTCGAGTCTCGCTCAGCTCGATTACGGCCTATGGCGGCAACCCTAGGAAAGACTCAAATGCTACAACCTGCCTTTCTGAACAAATCCTGAACTGCTCTCTCGTCTCTCGACAATGGAGAATATTCCGCCCAGTCCGAACATCATGCTCGACGTCACAAGACCGCTCAACACGTGTATAGTCACGACAGCTTGGCGGCTCCACTGCTTGGGCAACATCTGCTCGGGCGTGGAAGAACGCCGACCACCAAGGCGCGCAGTGGCCTCCGCATCGGAGTTCAGTGCTTCTCACGTGCGCTGACCCCGAAGCCGTCCTGTCCTCCATTGAGCGGAGACGACCACCTCACAGGTGGAAAGGTTTCGACCTTACTACAACGATTTGAGGTTGTTAAAAAGGTGCAAACGTGCAAACTTTTTCTAGTGTAGGAGGAAGAAGGATAGACGTCCTAAACGTAAAACAAGTGTGCTTGTGGGGTCCTCTCATACTCCTTCACACGTGTGTCGATGCTTCTATTCAGCCATGGCATAGAAGGAATTTGGCACGTCGTACAGAACTACCTTCACGCCGGAGTCCCCATGCAGCTATAACTTAAGCTGCGTACATTTTTCTGCCATCTGTATGGAGCGGTGCTTCCTGTTCTTGTCGCGTTTTGTCCTCTTGGGCTTTTTGTCTGTGACCGTTGACAACGTTGTGAGCTCGACAAGCCGGTCGGTTAATCTAAAATGCATCTATCTTACATCGTCTTCACCTGTGCAACCGTCCCCACATGCCTTGCCCTGGCTCTGGCCTTGCCCTCGAGGGGCCAGCTCAACCGCGAGCTATTGCGCTGCGCAAGCGTGATGGTGCTTGGGTATTCGGCATTTGTGGGATACACCGTAGCATTAGCGGCGAGCAGACTGCTGGCCGGCTCCAGCACTAAACTTCTTGGCAAGGTCAGCCACAGCACGGCGCAGCACGCAGGGTTTCGCAACCTGCTTAGTGAAGGGCCGGTCAGGCATTGCTTAAATTGGACTGCAGAGATGCACAAGCTTTTCTTCCATCCTGTTATCGTGCTCTGCTATCAATTCATAGCCGCCACAAGATACTTTGCACACACAACTTTACTGCCAACCTTTTCTGGGGTTTATGTTACTTATGTTGCACCGTGCCTTTCACCGTTGTCAATCGACACCGTTAACAGATACGGCTTCCTGACAATCAATGCGAGTTCTTGAGGGACACAGATCCTTGCACGCGCTTCATTCAAATTACAAACGTTCCAGACATTCCGACGCTGACCCACATCAGATCAAGGACACACGCGCGGTACTGCCCCAAATCCAAATACAGCATCGGCCCATTGCCGCGCAAACCGCCCAACCCACCCGCACCCTCCGTCCCCGCAGCCCCAAACCCTAATCTCCCTCATTACCCCTCGTCCACGCCACGTAGAGACACTCGCGGACGCCTGCTGGTCTGCTCCCGAATGGCTATCGACCTGCACCTGCACCTGCACCCTTGTTTTCCAGCCCCTCCCCCTCCCCGCTCCCCTCCTCTCCCCCCGGCTGAACAACCCCTCCCCGCTCCTTCCGGACTGGTAGCGGTCCTCCAGCGGCATCATTCACCCGCTGGGCTGGCTGATGATGTTGCCTTACCACCTAGGTCTGCGTGTCAAGTTGGGTGTGCAGCGACTCATCAGTTCGGAAGCGCTGTACAATCGAGTGCTGCCGGGGTGGTGAGTTGACCACCACCACACCACTGTTATCATGGCCATGGCGGCTAATGCGATCTCAAATGCGATCACCACGCGGCGCTCGTGATGCCGTCAGCTCCCAACCGCTCTCCTCCATTCCCCCTCCTCCCCGTCGTCGGCTCACCAACCCACCTGCGTTGTATCTTCTCCCGCTCCACTTTGTATCCACCTCTTATCATCGGGCCTTACTGCGCTCTCTCCCACCTGCCCACACGCCACACGTGGAAATGCGTCGCGTCATCACCGCGTCCCTGATTTCCCCCCTCCTTCTCCACCCTCCCTGGGCATTGGGGCCCCCGAAACCCCCCTTCCCCCCAAAGGTACATAGGCGGGTGGCCCTGGAGCGGCTCCGAGCTGCCCCCCGATAGCCCCTCCGTGCTGGACTGCACCTGCGAGTTGCCGCGGACACACCGCAACCGTTACATGTGCCTGCCGATATGGGACACGCAGGGTGCGGGGGTGGGAGGGCGGGGGTGAGGGGTGAAGGTGGAGCGGGTTGGGATGGGATGGGAAAGGACTCGGACCCGCAGCCCGCTGAACATCGCGATGGGTCGGACATCGGCAGGGTGGTGCTGGGGAGAGGAGAACTTTGCCAGGTCACCCGAATTCGCTGAACACACGTTGCATGGCCCCCTGCCGAATTCTCCGAACTCGGTGTCCGACGTGATTCGGTGGCGCAGTGGATCAGTAATACCACTGCCACCACTGCCACCACTGCCACCACTGCCACCACTGCCACCACTGCCACCACTGCCACCACTGCCACCACTGCCACCACTGCCACCACTGCCACCACTGCCACCACTGCCACCACTGCCACCACTGCCACCACTGCCACCACTGCCACCACTGCCACCACTGCCACCACTGCCACCACTGCCACCACTGCCACCACTGCCACCACTGCCACCACTGCCACCACGAACATGCAATTAATGCATGAGTGATTGCGTGCAACGATGTGTAGCCGGGGGTAAACCTGCAACGGCGTGAACTCGTCAGTCCTCCTGCCTGCCTGCCTGCCTGCCTGCCTGCCTGGCCGCTAGACCCTAGCCTGGGATGACCTGAAGGGAGTGTAGCAAGTTTGGGGGGGGGGAGAACCTGGCCCCTTTCAGCTGCCTATCCTTCCCACTCTGAATCCCTTTTGTCCCACACGCCTACTTTGCCCCCACTGCCGCTTCATCTTTGGTTTCCTTGCATCTTTGGTTTACCCCAGCCCCCCTCCCGCCGCCCCTGCCCCACCACAGCGCCCACTCCGGCCCTCATAGAGCGGGGTGTCGCGTTTGCTCTGACGGAGCGAGCTCTGGGCAAGTCGGTGTACGTCCACTGGTAGGTGCGGGTTGGCACCAGGCATCTGATTGCGTCATGTGTAACCCCGAAGTGCTTGCTTTGTGATTGTTGCGCTTAGCTTATCCAACGCTGTCCTCCCTCGTCGTGCGGATGTCCTGTTGGCTCCCGTGTGGGTGTTCTCTCGTGCAGCGCCCACGGCCACGGGCGGTCGGCACTGCTGCTGATCGCGTGTCTGTTGGAGGCGGGTCACGTGGCCACGTGGGAGGAGGGCCTGGCGGTGCTGAAAGCCGCACGGCCCCGGGTGCATTTGAACAGCCGCCAGCGCCAAGCGCTGGAGGGCTGGGTGCACAGCCGTGGCGGCAGGGACGGGGTGCAGATGCAGGCTCTCTCCTCGGCGGTGGCCGGCGGCGGTGGCGGCGGCAACACGCCGTTATCCTCGGCGGTCGTGACGATGCCGGCGGTTGTGAACGGCTCGATGGTGGTTTTGCGCCGTGGCAGCGCCGGTGGCGTGTCGGATGGCGGCAGCGGTGTCGGTGGCGCCGGCAATACAGACGTCAGCGCCAGGGTGCATCTGTTGGCGGATACTCGCGACCCACGGGGATCGGAGGCATTTGCAGCGCAGTGTGGTACGGCAGGTACGGCGTCGTACGGTGGGCTGGAGTCACGGCTTTCGGGTCTGGCGGCGGCTGCGTCGGGGGTATTGCACAGTGCCAGCAACTTACCGCTGACGGAGCCCCTGCGTAATGGGGCTTCACAGGTATCGGCAGCCGCCGCCGCCGCCGCAGCAGCAGCTGCTGTGGCCGGCGGCAAGAAATTGAGTTAACCTCTTGGGCGGTCCCTTGGGTTGCCTGCCAGCAGCTGCCCGTGCAGCAATATGCAGATGCCGTTGGCGACCCGTCGCCAGTCTGCTAAGGTGCTTACGTTCCTGCCTTGCGTTGTTGGAAAGGTGTCGGTCTCAGACGCACACAAGCTTTCGGGTCCTCTTTCTTCTTATCCTCGGGTAAACCATTGGTGCCGTTAGCTCCCCCTAGTTCCTAAACCCTTAAAATGCACAATCCATGAGTATATGATGCGCGTTGTGCGTCTGCTCCTTTGGGTATGTAAGTGGATATGTACATGTGTGTGTGTCTTAAACGGCGAGATGTTTCGTGCGCGTGAAAGCGAATGCGAGGCCGTGTGAGTTTGTGGTTGCCGTATTTTTGCCGTACAAGGCAAACCCTCCACGTGGTGAACTGCTCATATGTACAAGCGCACTGAATGGGAAGCTGTACCTGGAATTGCAGTGCGTGATTTGATAATTCCACCCGGCAGTGCTTGTGTCAGTTCCCTGGGTCGCAATACGATAATACTGCACAGACGCTCTCTATCACAGGGTGATGCGATTGGGGATATTATTTCGTACACTCTCATTCGCACGAGGGTTAACTTCCACAGCAAAATAGGGAAAGATGCTATTACATACATATGTACATACATCCGTGTTTACATATTAGATGTGTTGGCCAATATGGACGCTGCAAGAGGTAGGCCCCTATGTATAATCAACACCGTTACTAATGAATCCGGTAACAGGATATTCAGATCGATTGTCGGCACACAACAGACGTAACCTCACTCCACACCGCACGGGCCGAACCTGAACCATAGACAAAAGCGACTAACACAACTGCAGGAGGGGCTGACAGCCAAAAGGAGGGTAGCAGAGCCGTCAGGATGCGGGCACACGATACGGATAGGAAAGAGTAGGATGGAAATGTGGACGCCCCCGGGGAAAAGGATGGCAGGGGCCCCAGGATGGCGGCGTACTTGGAAGGGTAGAGGCGCCAACCCGCCAAGGATGAGGGTGGCGGAGGGGAGGGGATGCAGTCACCAGGACGCGGCTGTTGGGTGTGTGGCTCGAGGATAGGGAAAAGGGTGGGGGTGGCGGTGTAGGATGTATCCAGCCGACAGGATGCGTGTCCGACCCGCTCCCCAGGATGCGAGGATGGGGCACGGCTCTTCACCCCTCCGAGCCAAACCGCGACCAGGGACGACCTGTGCAGCTGCACGCAGGTGGCAGCACGGCGGACACCAGCTCCAGGGTGCCTAGTCTCACCAACCGAGAACAGCGACCGGACCCGAAACAGCGAGGAGAAGCTACGACAGCTGATAAGAAGCTAGGGGACCCCAAAAATCCTCACTTAGCACCGGCCCTCACCACTGTTGCAATCACCCTCTAGGAAGGGCCCCGCCGAGTAACGTTCCTGATGTGGTAGGCACCGTAGACCCACCGGTTAGAGTGCAGCGGTAGGCAGTAAGCGCAAGTTACAGGACGGACGGATTCGCTCCGCCAAGGTCTGAGTTAAACCGGGATTCCTTCCCGGATCGGAAGACCAGAAAAGCTAACAAAAGCTGATCTGACCCAGGCTTTTCCCCCAATAAAATAGTAATCACCCGTTTGTGGAACTGACGTACGGCTGCTAGTAGACCGACGGTGTGTCTGTCATCCAAATTAGAGCGTGAAACCCAAGCGAATGTCGCTTCCTTAATAATAATAATGGCGCACTTAATTAGGTAAACGTCTCGTGAACGATTTCTTGGTCGATTCATGCCTTGTCACACTGAGACGCTAATAAGGCGCTCTGCAGGACACAGCACCATGGATACGGCGGCTCCTACCTAGACCCACAGGTGCGTCCCCAGCGTTGGCGCACACGCACGCACTCAGTTTACTCCAGGACCATTACCTCCGGCGTGTATTAAGAGACCAAAGATGAAAGAGAGAGAGAGTCGCCATTGGTGACCATTTTGTTCACATAAGAGTATCCGCCTGCGGCCCCTATCCAGCCTCCTGAAACCACTTAACTGTGGCTTACGGCTGCTAACCAACCGGGGCGAACTTGAGGCCTACTGAAACCTTGGCTATCCAAGATGTACTCCTTCCTTATGCCATTTGTGCCCCGATTTGAACCAGATTTGAACCTATAACCTTGCAAGATCACGAATCCGCATCCCTGTAAACAGACGGAAACAAGTCCATGAAATCTCCATTTATTTGCCCTCATAAGGAGCGCAAAAAATTCCAGATCAACGGATTGGCCCAGACTTCCCCAACACGACTGAAGGGGAGTTAGCCCCCACCACAACCACCAATTCACCACCCCATCCGTGCCATCCAATTTCAACACAGTTTCTTCTCTTCGTCCCCTCCCCCTCCTTCCCGTCCTGCTGCTGGTCCCTACCCTGGCGGAGGTGCTCATTTCCCTCCTCCTCACCGCCAGCTGGTGCAGCTCATGGCCGGTGCGGCCGCAGCAGCGGCCCTTGGCACGACGAAGCTGCTGGCCTTGAGCTCCTGCACGATTGCGCCATCGCACTTGGAAGTCGACCTCCATGCGGAGCGTACCCCGACCAAAGTCCTTCTTGCACGAATCCTCAAGGCCGTTTTCTCCGTCGCTACTCGTTGCTACTCGTGCGAAGTCCTTACCGGGAAAAGTTGCCAATCAGTCATGGAGCCAGGGGCAGAAGCACCCCGTCCCCCAGCCGCTGGGCCACCGCGGCCAAAACCATTAGGTACAACAGCGGGATTCTTTGCTGACATTTTGCCCCGCCTGTCGTAGAGTAAAACGACGGGGACGGAGGGCTGTTGATGCCGCTGTTATTGTCACTAATGTTGGCCCTGCAGCTGCTACTGCTGGTGCCCCTGTCATCACAACTCGGGATCGAGCCTGGGGGTGGTTGGCGATCGCCGGCCGTATTACTACCCTTGCTACTTCCATCTGTGGCAGTATCGTTTCCTGTGCTGCTGCCATCGGCGCCTTTGCTGTCCGACGAGCTACTGCCGCCACCGACGACGACAGAGGGACCACGTCTGACGCCGGGAGGGCCGTTCTCAGTGCCCCGAATGCCTCCAAAGGACTTCTTCCCAGGCGGCGAGTATGACACCTGCGCGCTCGGCAAATACAGCAACCGTGCCGCGCGTGCGTAGTCCAACAGTACGGTACCCGAACTTGCTGATGCCAGGAAGTACAGCACCGAACCGTCAGCGGGCAGCTGGCTCCGAAAGTACGACGTATCGCCCACCGTCGCCGCCGTGCCAACCATTGGCAGGTGTTCGTAACCGGTGCTGCTGACCAGATCCCACAATTCCGCAACCACATTAATCCCGAAACACGACTGGCAGGCGCGGTACTGCGGCACGCCGTGGAAGGCGTCGTGTAGGCAGGAAGTGAGGGCGGCGATATTGGGACACATACCCGAAATGAGGAAAAGCCGCTGAGGTCCAATGATGACCGCATCGCCGCCACCAACACTGCTGCCAGCCTGAAAAGTAAGGGTGGCGCTCATGTGCTCTGCGCTGATCACCAAGCGACTGAGTTGAGCAGAAGAGGAGTTGAGATTGCGGAATTGGATGGCCAGGGCCTGGCCAGGCTGCAGCTGCATCCGGACGCCGTTTAGGAGGCTCAGGCTGCAGGGCGTGACATGATGTGCAGTGCGTGGATTGATGAACAGCATGCAGGTTGGGAGCAAAGGGGATCGGTTAAGAGTGAGACCAGAGGGACGAGAAGGTACTATTGGTGGGTATGGGGGATCAGGAGCCGGGGTGTGACTTTGCTTGGCTCCCTAGCAGTTCTCCGCAAATTGCCTTTGCCCGGAAGCACTTTCACCCACATCCTGGCTGGGGACAGCCTTACCCGCAGGTGTCCGGCTCAGGATACTCGATGTCGCAATCCAAAATCTGGATGCTGGATATGCCGGGGTAGGGGGGAATCCTTGGACAAAAGATTGGCGGTGGACTTGGGGCACGGGGAGGAGGACTGGGCGGCTTTGCCGGATTGTCTGGAAGCGAAGGCGGTGTTTCTGGTTGCTGTGGTTTCCATGGGTATGCTGGTAAATAGGGTTGCGAAGCAGCGCCACGTTGCTGACTTTTGCCATCGTCGACCGAGTCGTCGCACCATCCCCAGCTCAGGAAGATGAAAACAATTGATAAAATGGAGACTATGTATGATTTGCGGCGCTGCCTGCTGCGCGAGCACAGAGCTATGCATAAGCGATGCATAAAAAAATCGCGAACCGTACAACTGTGACATGAATGCTCAGCTTGAACTGCACATTTGGGCAATGTAAGCTAAAGGACTAACAGAGAAACATGTATTACCCCTAGGGCCTGACAAGTATGATACTTGTGCAGTGACAATCACTGCTGCAGATAGATCTTCTCTTCTGCAGCAGAAAGCCATCACATCCACAGCCGTTTTACAAGTTACCTTTTGCAGGAAGCGGTTTCACTCATTGGACCGACCAATGACCGATATACGGCAGCGACACGGAAGAAACCATACGTCCTATTAAAGATCTGGCATACTGCAACTGCAACCTGCAAATCCCTCTGCTCTCAGTTGACGACACCTACGTAGGAATATGTCTGACGCATCACAAGTTGTTGTCCACACGCTTATAAGCCCTTTCACAGTCTATCCACATTTCGCAAAATGTCCCTTTCTCAGCTCAGCACCGGGTTCCGCTCAGAACGCACCCAAATCCTCGGCACATGCAAACACACATCCACAACCCAGACAATCGGCAATCACGCCCTGGCATCCAATCCATCCCAGGTAAAACACAGCCCCCCGGTAAATTACACCTTGTCCCACAGCTGCAGCGAAACGGGGCAATCAATGAAAGTAGCCATCACATCCCTCCCCTTTTGGCAACGTAAGCAATCCCCCCAGCACTCGCCTTCCACCGCACTTTCCCCAATCCTAAATGAATTTCATGCCCACACGCCGCACGTGCTTCATGCTGAAGTATTGCAGCACCGCTACCATCGAACCGACGGCGCCAAAGAACCGCAACGCGGGTACATCGCACATGGCCAGCGGCAGCACACATACGGGCGCCGCCACCAGCAGCGCCGTGCCCCAGGACTCGGCTCGCAGCGTCCACAGATAGCGCAGGAAGATGATATGGTGCGGCACCGCCAGGGCTGCGGTTTAGGGGTTGTCATTGCCACAGTCGTAGTTGGTGGAGGCACCATGCAGGGTGCGAGTGCGGAACGGGTTTGGGCAGTGCCGAGAGATGCGAGCACGCCAGGGGCACGCCAGGCTTCCACCCGGCGAGGTGGGCAACCCAAGGGTATTCGATACGTCACCCTATCGCAATACCTAATCCCGGGTAGAGATCCTACAGAAATCAGCCATCCAGTCCACCTTCCCTCCCACCACATGACCCCGAACCCGGTCCGCTCTCAACCCACCTGCCAATCCCAACTCCTTGAGCAAATACAGCGCGGGTGGCAGGCCAACAGCGGCCGCTGCCGCCCCTCCGCCCACCAGCACATCCGTGACGGCCTGCACAACCCCAGTCAGCAGCAGGTAGGCGCTGATGGCCAGCTGGGGGGGGCAGTAGCGCTGCCGCTCGGACAGACCTGGCAGGATGAGTACGTCCTGGCAGGGGACGGTGAAGAGCGACGGGGGGGAGAAGGGGCAGGTGAATAACAAGAAGGGTGTACAAGCGGAGGACAGACGGGTGGGCGCTACGAGAGGCAAGGGGACACGGGGCCCCACCCTCACCTGACTTAGCAGCAGCAGTATGGGCGCCAGCATGAAGATCGCTTCCGGTGCCCCCAGGCCGCCGTTGAGGAAGCAATTGAGTGCCAGCCCCAGCCCCAACGCCGCCAGCGTCAACAAGTTGCCCAGCGTGGGGACCCAGGCCAGGCCCTCCTGTGCCAGCCGCTGCAGCGCCAGTGCGCCCGCGCCCTCCATTTTGAGCATGGCACAATAGTTGGTGAAGACGGCCGACGGCACCAGGCCACACAGCAGGTCGGAGGGGGAGATGCCGAAGGAGGGCTGGGCGCCGCCATGTGCGGCAGCGGAGGCGCTGCCGCCGTTAGCATGGTCTGAAACAGGGCAGGTCGAGGCGGAGGAGGAGGGCGGGGGGAAGGGCGGGGTGCAAAGCCGCCAACGTGACTTTCTAGAAGGTTTCAATCTTGGCCGCATAGATAGCCTCGGGATGTATCAAGAAGTGTATATTAAAACGGCAGCGCACTGCTGAATTGTGATGGCCATAGCAGCGACCACAGCAGCAGCCACAGGTATACGAACCCCCTATATACAGACAACACGGACACATGCACCACGAGTTTGGGTATGAGGGCCGGCATTTAAATAGGATCCCCATTCAAGGTTACGGACTTCCGCCCGATTGCTGGCCAAGCACGCCGGGCCACTCACCACGTCCCGCAGCTGCGGCAGCAGCACGGCGCCTCAGTGCTGAGGTCATCTTAAGTTTGAGCGCAAAGGCCATGAGCAGGGCGTGGGAGGCGATCACGGCCAGCAGCGCAGCCTTTGTGGCTCGGAAGATCTCCCGCTCAACCTGGAATTTGATGTGTACAGTAGAGGATTGGGGGCCCCATTGAAGATCAAATAAGCGACTCTGACTGGAACTGTAAAGATGATAAGGGTGGTATTCGGGACAGAGGTGAGGGAGAGGAAGAGGCGAGGGGTTAAGAGGCCCAGGGACAGGAGGCATGGCCAGGACGGGTATACGTGTAACTCCCTTTCCCCCCTCCCCAATCTCCGCTCCCCCTCTCACCTGCACCTTGCTATCCGGGAAGAGGCGGCTGTTGGCCCTTTCCATGGGCACCGGCAGCTCCGCATGCAGCAGCAGAGCGAGACCCGAGCAGCTGCCCCACAGCAGCCCCAGAGCGGGCAGGGCCACCGGGCCGCCCGCGCGGGGCAGGGACATCATAACCACAAACACCACTGCCACCACGCTTGCAGCCATCACCAGGATCTGCGATCACGGCATAACAACGGAAAAACGAATTTAAAGGCGGGCTTGCGAAATGGTGTAAAAGGAGACCAGGACACCACAGAGAGATAAGAGTTATTAGTTGAAAGTGTGCCATGGCGGGCAATGTCAACTAGATGGAAGCACTGAGAAGAGGAACAGGGAGGGAGAGCTGGGAGGGAGGGGAGGGGAAACGGGAAAACGCAACGTCAAGGCCTGAGACCCTCTTTTCCACCACCCCACTGTTGCACTGGAAACCTCTAGGACAAGGCAGTGACAGCTTACCTGCAGGGGCAACTGGCTAGGTAACAGCTCCAGGGCCGTGTACCCCCCCACCAGCAGCCCAGCTACGCCCGCCAGTGCCAGCCGGCCCACCACCGTAAGGCGGCGAGGGGAGGACACCACTCCCGCGGGCCCCGATCCTCCCGTGGTGGCCAGACAGGCAACCACCGCGGCGATGAGCAACCAGCGGGGCCAGTGCTCCCTCCTGCTCAGACCCCGGCCCCAGACCTCCACGTCCTCAGCGCTGTGCATGGGCACATGGCGCTCGTCCCACAGACGCGGGCACAGCGACAGCGGCAGTCGAGGGCAGCGTGCACCGCCAGCCAGCGGCAGCGGCGGCTGCAGCAGCACCAGCAAGGTGCCTACCAGGGCCAACGCTGCGGCACCGCGCGCCACAGGGCCGCCACCGCCGTAGCAGTGGCTCGCCAGAGGCACCAGTGCTGCCGCCAGCGTCAGTGCCAGACAGCCCAGCAGCAGCCCTTCCGTCGGACGCGCAGAAATAAAAAACTGCACCACATCGAACACGGCAAAGCGCGCCAGCGCCACGCACACCACCACGGACGCCACGTGCACCAGACCCTGCCACGGTGCGAGCCGCAGCCGGCGGGGCCGAGATGGCCCCGTCGAGCCCGTCGCTGCCGTAAGCGCCTGCGGCTCTGCCGCCACTGCTAGCAGCGCTCCGCCGGCTGCGCCGGCGGGCGTGTTGAGAATCCAGGAGGGGCCGTGGAAAAAGTACGGCGCGATGGTAGCGCCCAGTAGCAGCGCGGCCGCGACGACCAGGTTGCCCTCGGGAATGACGAGCATGGAGGCCTTTGCGCCGTACAGGGTGTACAACAGCCAGGAGGCCAGAGGGGTGAGGCGACCGCGGCCAGTGAGCAGGCGGGCAACGGCCATGCCCACCAGGGAGGTAGCCACAACCAAATACCCTGTGATAGGGGTTACGGGTGGGGGAGGGGGAGGGGAATCGCGGATCAGGGATAAGCAGTCCAACGAAAATCCCCCTCAGCATTCCCTAGGGGCTGAGTGAAGGGAAAGGATGTGAAACGTGAGAGGAGAGTCGCAACGTCTTCGCTGGGAGAATGACGAGGCAGGTGTGGATAGCGCCAGGAGACAGGGATGTCGTTCGCCCCATGCAGGTGCGCAAATAAGCCTCTAAACCGGTCCAACCTGACATGAAAACAGCCTTGGGTGCCTTTTCTGACGCAGCTGATGTGTTATGGCAGGTGAGGCGTCCAGGCGCAATTTACAGTAAGCAAGTCGAAGCGCCACCCCAGCCACAGCCCACAGGTGATCTCATGCTGGTGATTTGCGGGGCTGATCCCACCCAGCTTTGCAGTTTCCACCCGTATGGACCTCGCGCAACCCCTACCCTCTTCATCGGCCGTATGCCTTTTCTCCTGAACTTCTCCTCTCCAGCCACCCCCCCCATCCCCCACCTGGATACATGGGCTCCGGCGCCCCGTCCTGGTTCCCTGCGTCATACAGCCGCTCCTCCATAACACACAACAGCACTGCCTGCATCACCAGCAGCCCGCCAACGACGTGCGCGTTCATCTGCAATACGGGGAATACGGGCGGGTTCGGGATGATGCAGGGCTGAGGGGCCGAGGGGACAGCGGATGTGAACATTCCAACACGGTGCTAGCCAGCGAGCCTAAAAAAAGCCCTCTTTCTCCTGATGGCCCTCTCGACGTGTAAGAGCCGGACGGCTCCCTGGGCCCTGTGCACTCCGTCCTTGCCCTCCCTTTCCTCGCTCCTTTGAATGTCACCAGTTGACAATCTCCTTCTTGCATGTGATGCCCTCGCTCCCTTCCTTCCTGGGAACCCTCCCGCCCATTCGATCCGCCCCGAACTGCCCGCCTACCCTTGCAATGACCAGCCCCGGCACGGTGAGCGCGGGCACCAGTGCCGCCAACGCCAGTTTGCAAATGGTGTGCAGCTGCATGCCTGACACCAGGATATTGAGAAACCAGAAGTGATGCCGCATGAACCACACGCCTGAGGTTGGGTGCGGGGGGGGGGCGCGCGCGAGAGGGGGTGCGCAAATGGAAAAATGTTGGACCGAGGAAGGGGTGAGTGATGATAGCGGGTGGAAAACTGGAATTCAGAGTGCACTGACATAACAGGGTGGCCATCACTGCAGGAAAGGGTTGAGGCGGGAAAGATATGGGAGGCGGGTGTGGCAGCGGAGGGTGGCGGGGCGAGGGCAGTGAGCAGGCAGAGGTTTCATGGATTGAAGAGGGGGCTTCTTCACCCTCGCCCACCGCCCAGGCTCCCAGAACCGTGCCTCCTGTTTAAGTAATGCGGAAATTTACGGCACCTGCGGTGTGGACAACAATCCCCCCGTCTGGTGGGACGCCTCAGCACGCGACAGGGCGCCTTCCACGCAGTGCCGTTCGCCTGCACCACCCGCGCATGGTTCGCGTGTCATTCTCTCAGCCGCAATGGTCCTGTACTTCCCTTCCACGCTCCCCTTCGAAATTCCCCGTACTGCTCACATGTCAGGAAGGCTCCCACCACGAAGACCAGGTACTCCCTCAGGCTGCGGCTGTCATAATAGAACAGCGACAGTCCACATGCGGCCAGCAAAGGAGCCGGCAGCCAGGCGAAGGGCACGCCGGCTGCGAGCGAGCCTGGTTTGCAGGGAAAGAGGGATGGTAAGGAAATGCATTTACAGTTGGGATCCAGCTGCAAAGGTACCAGGAAAGGAGCGAGGCTAGGTAAAAGCCGCAGAAGGAAATTCCGCAAAGGGGTGACGGGATGCGCACAGGTACATTCCCGGTTCCCGCAACCGCAAAAGGGTATGTTACGGCGATAGGACCTACACATGGCACATAACCTGCCATTGCCTATCCATCCTAGACCACCACAGTCTGACGAGCGGCCCCTTCCTTCAAACGCTGAGACCCAAGGTCACCATCCCAGAGGTAACATTAAGAAGTGGCTCCATGGGGCTGCGCTGTCAGTTCGCCACGCATCCCAGGAACCCCCCACTCCACACACCCCGCCCAGCCCGCCCAACAGCCATTACACCCGCACACGCCTCCGCCTGTCGGCCCGAATTTGCCGTGCCAATGCACCCACCCGCCGTGGTGCACAGCAGCAGGAAGCAGCCCGCCACCGTCACGTCCACAGTCGCTCCCAATGCGCCCGTCAGATGCAGCAGCAGCACTGCCGCACATCCGAACAGCGCAAACGTCACCGCAAGCCAGTTCCAAGGCGGTGGTAGCTGAATGTATTGGCCAAAGCCGTGGAACACCACGCGCCCCTCAAAGCCTACCAACGCCACCAGCAGTGCCCCCGCAATGATTGTCTTGCGGAGGAAGCCCGCTAGCCCGCGCGAAGGCGTGGCGATGTACGGCGTGGAACCGTACGATGGGCCGTCCGTGGCGGCGGAGCCGGTGGCGCCGCCGCGGCCGGCGTTGACTGGTGCAGGCATGGCCGGTGCCAGCCACCACATCCCGCCTGGCAGCAGTGCCAGGCAGAGCGGCATGCCACCAGCGAGCAGCAGCACCGAGTAGAGATGCAGCGGAAAGGTGAGCACGATCCAGTGTACGGCGGCATACGTAGCGACAGGTAGGAAAACCACCAGCGCGGCCATGAGGACGCCGTCGGCCCGGGTCTGCACCACGGCCTCAGGGCCCACCGCGGGGCCACCACCCAGGGCGGCGGGTCCAGCCTTAACCTGCCGGGTGAGAGTTGAGGTGGGCGTGAGAAGCAGGAGGACAGACCAGTCCAGGCACGTTGACAAAATGACGGTAAAACCAAGACCGTGGGGGTCATAGCCGTGGGCGCGAAACTCCAATGCATGCGCAACAAGAAAGCGTTTATGCCGTTTATGTTATGTTATGTTATGTGTGCGATAAGTGTTATCGCCTAGCAGGAGGCCATGCAAATGAGGCGGCTTGGAACTGGGTTTTGGCAGTGGTTTTGGGTATTGCTGTTTGCGGGCATTGCACGTGGCATGGCTTTGCAGCGATGGGATGCCCTGGACAGGCTCCTGCAGCAGCGTCCCATAATCTGGGGGCCCAAGCCCCAGATGCACGCGCTTCTTTGTGCCGCCCACTATGGCATTAGACGCTCAAGCCTGCAAACGCTAAGCTTTAGCAACTGCAGCAGCTGCAGAGGCAGCCACCACTGCTGCCAGGCCCACAATCCCAGTACTCAGCAACCCAGAGGAACTCACGTTGTAAAAGGACGACATAAGCGGCCGGCCAAGCATGTAGTAAAGCGCCACCAGTACGATTGCCAGATAGTATGGCACATCCGAGTACGGCACAAAGGTCGCCAAGCCCAGGCAATGGATTACTGCTGCCAGTGGCAGCGACGCCGTCAGGACGCAGCGCTCAAAGTAGATGGCGGCTGCGGGATACTGCATTTGCAGCCACTTGAACTGCAAGGAGGCCCACATGCCGGTGAGGATCGACAGGAACAGCATCGCGAAGATCATGCAGATTTGCAGGATCACCGGCGCATCGGAACTGGTAAGCAGCGACACCGTGAATGCTACGTTGGCGCACGCTAATGTCAGCCAGGCGCCCGAAAAAGCGCCTTCTCGATATTGTAGCGCGTCCATTAGGTACACGACCATGGCGCCGATGGTAAGACAGGATAAAACACTGACGCCACCGATGATAGCCACAGTCAGCAGGCAGGGCAGGAGCGCCAGCGCCACGCGGCCGTTGTATTTGAAGTCCGCGGGGGTAAACCGCGTTATTGGAGCTGCCGGCGCTGCACTGGCGCCGGCCACAGTGTAGTAGCTGGTGGACATGGCTGCGGACACTGCTAGGGTGGGGCTGGCTGGGCTGCAGCAGCGGGGACACGCAGCTGTACCTGGGAAGGTATTCCGGTCGCAAGTTCAGCTAAGAACTGATTGTAGTGAAACAATAAATGAGTTTGGATTGATCGGCCGTGTAGGGTGGCCAACCCAGGGCTGGAGAACGGTCGAAGCGGGCAACCAATGATCTCCGCGTGCGAGGCAAAACCAGCTGCGAGTCCCGGCAAGTAGACGTGTCACACTTAAGATTCAGCATGCGTTTCCTGAACGGTTACGTAGCCGAGGATTCCACGGTCGGCGACCACGGACTGTTACTGCCAGGGCCCCATTCCAAATCCAACTCCACAGGAAGCGTTATTGCGTGCTCTATTATATGCAGATAGGACCAAGAGACCTCGATGTGTGCCTGGGCCTTGAACACTGAAAACTTTCGACAGGATCGAGTTCGAAAAACTGGGAAATGTCCTATCCAGGTTAATGCTATCCTGAACTACGCTTTAACGATCATGGAAAACGAATACGCGGAAACGTTGCTGTGTTCCGTCACAGTTTACAGTCGGTTGATGTTGTACCGTACTAGCCATAAGGTATAACCGCAGAACTAGAGCCGTAAGCAAGAAAATTGTTTTGTAATCATACATATTCTGCATCGGATTAGCCTGGCACATCTTGGATTAACGTGCTGATGCAAATCACTACACTGAGTGAAAGCCCCCTGGGACGCAACGCCGCTGACACGGCTTCTGTGCTTCAAATTAGAACGAGATAGTGTCTCGCGTATGTCGTAGGCTTCAAGCTCAATTTTCAGCGGGAATCACTTGTGTTGCTGTGGGTACAGGCGGCGCTGCACCCATCATAAGCAGCAGCCGTCGGTTAGTAAAGCGCTGCGAGCATGTCATCCGATAAGGAATGGATGTTCTGCCCCAAATCGGGCTACCTCCTCAGCCTGGACCCGCAGCGACAAGTCGCTGCATGCCAAGTCTCCGGCTACGAGCGTAGCCTCGCAGGTAACTCTTCCCCTAAGCCGCTACTGCGCAAGCGCCATCACCCTACAGTCCTTCCACCTAATCTCCCACAATTCCCCTCCGCTGGTGACGTCTCGAAACTCAACCTCCGCGATTCCGGAGTTTTGCCGTAGCAAGCTCCCACCGGCATCCTGCATACCTTGCTGAGTTACAAGCTCTCCCCCTCCCCAGAGCTTTCTGCTGTCAAGGTTGTTCTCCGAACCGATATGGAGGACTACCGCCGCCGCTTTGCCTTGGAGCCGCTGGTCAAGAGCGTGGAGGACGAGGAGCTCCTCAAAGGCCGGAAGAGGGCCACGGTAGGGTTGCGTGGAACAGAGGGACGGGTCAACAAAGGAAGAAAACAGGCCGTGGAATGAGACCGGCGGGCGGGGAGGCGGGGCTTGCCGCTAAGGGGAGGCCCCGTGGAAAGAGGCTGCGGGGCCCGAGCAGGTAGCAGAGGGAATGCGCAGACGCAGCGTCCCGGGGCTGGCGGGGCGGATGTACCGATGGGGAAAGTGAACGGGATGGTGATAGAGTGGATGGGGAGCGGCAGGACGAAAGGGCGGATGAGGATGTCGCAATGTGGGGTTGATAAACAAGGTGCGTCGTTGAGGCGGGCGCAACGCGATATGGAGCCGGGCAAGTCTCCAGGGAGGAGGTGCAGTAAAAGAGGTCTTGTATAGGTTTGTGGGCGCCGCTTCGGCCTTGGGTTGGTCCCGCAGGTACGCGTACAGGCACCCCAGTGCCCAGGAGGCCGTCTCAAAGCACACCTTCCGCCGCCTCGTGCTTACATGCCCAGCCTTCACCTCGTTTTGCACCCCTCCAAGGGTTCGCCTGGTGCTCGCGGTCGTAATGCAACCGCGTTTTTCGAACGATTGCTGTTTGCTCGTTCCCCAGGTGGATGAGCCATGTCCCAAGTGCCAGCACCGGCCGATGGAGTACTACACGATGCAGCTGCGCTCCGCGGATGAGGGACAGACCGTGTTTTACGAGTGCCGGAAATGCGGGTGAGGACGTGCGAGTCTGAGGCGTGTTTTGCGCGAACTCTGTTTCTATGCTGACCGCCATTGTGCACATGGGTGTCATCCAAAGGGAACAAATCGCTATGTGAGTCAAAGCACGCGGCGAGCAAGGAAGGAAGGAAATTCAAGCCCATCTTTCCTCTCGGCGTTTTCCGTCCGCTGCTCTATCGGGATGTGATGGAAGTCAGGCCTATCACCCGAATCCACTATCTTGCCTGCCGCCACCATTACCACCAGCACCGCTGCACTCTCTGAGCCACGCCCGCAGCCACTGCTTCTTCCCTTGTCACCTGCACCACGGACTTGTGGTCTCCAGCACCCACCTCCTAACCTCTGCAAACACCGTAACCCAGAATGTTCAATTGATCCGTATCCATATCCGTGTTTTCGTCCGTTTCCCCTGCGTCATGGAATTCGTTTTGCCTAACCGTCCTCATGTTCACACCGCTATCCCGCTGGGCCCCCTGCCCCCCTACAGCTACAAGTACTCACAGAACACCTGAGCGCGCACACGCACTCGGCCAGGTGGTGCGCTCGCGGACCATGCGGTTGACTTCTGGGACTCTGATACGGAGTTATGGAGCACGCTTATGGCCGTGCATGTCCGGGAATCGCCCGGCCTTGGCGCACAGTGCGCATAGGCTCGTTGGGCTGCTTGGCTCGCTCGCCGAGCTTAAGCTAGGAAGTCATGCGTATGCATGAACGTAAGGAATAACGTGTCAGGCACATTAAGGATTTTATGAACGATTGGCTTTGGAGCTCTCTTTCTACGCCTGCTCGGTTATGTTATTACCGCTGCGCTCGCGTGTGGCGCGTGCGGGCTTGTTATTTAAGATATTGTTTTACTTGCATCAAGGAAATTAAATTATTATAAATTTATCCGTAATTTTTCGCTGAACGTCCTTGGCAGTCGCAACTGCCAATTACCAATTACGAATACGGCAGTTTGGGAGGGAATTTCAGCGGTTGCTGACCAGTAAGGTCTAGGACGGGTTGAGGCCAGGGAAGGGAAAGACAACCGGATTCTTTCCTAACCCTAATGAATCCCGGCAATGGGAATGAAGGCAGGAATATTAGTTTTACAGTGGAGCAAGAAGAGGAACCGTACGACAACGTCCACACGCATAATCCGGATTGGCGGCCGACCAGGAGCATCCTGGTTTCTGCGTAGAGAGCGGCAGAGCCCAGTCCAGGAGGGTTAAGGAAAGCAACCCCGGGATAGACATGTATAGCGAATACGACCCAACCTGCCAAATCAACCGGCTCGAGAGATCCAAATATGGACTCCCAACCAACTTCAACCGTCTGCAAACTGCCTCCGTGCGGAGATCTCCGTGCAGCAACCGGGCAAATCAGAGACGCGTTCTGCGCTGTACGGGTTAAGGAAAGGGATTGACAACCAGCAAATTATCTCTGTTGCGGGCTGGAGGAAACTGGTCGCGAATTGTCTACCTTGCTGCTGCGGCGCTGTGCGATCCGTAACTGCCACGAAGAAGACGAACAGCGCATTGCGAGAACGGCTACCTTGCGCCGCAAGCTAAGCCTTGAAGCGTTGCAATTATGGGCGTGTTGAAATTTGAGCTACCAATCATATGGCGCACAGGCCGCTCGGCTGGGACCATGGTGATGAACCTTACAGCTGTAAAAGTGCGGGCAGTTACGTCGCTGCCCTCGCCAGGTTATAACCCCAGCATTCAAGGCAGCTAATCTTGTGTACATGCAGACTGGTGAGCATATGAGCTGTGTGCCAAGTAAAGGCGTAGAGATGTTCCTGCAAGATTGCCGGACTCTGAATGCCGGAAAGCTTAGTAATATTCAGCGGTTGGTGCCGTACACGTCCCAATTCATTCCAACCTCACAAGGAACCAGCATAGTGGTTGTAAATATCATTAAATACAGCATGACAGGTTATGAACATTGAGACAACTGTGTTCCTGATGCTGAAACACTATGTGCCAGGCCCTGCTGAGCTCAGGGTGGGTGGGTTACATTTGACCCGTGGGACAGGCATCATTACTGCTCTTATTTACGCGTAGAAGGTTCCAGGTTATGCATATTACTTTTTATGGTAATTATAGGCGCTATATGCGAGCCAGTCCAGGGCCCGTGATAACCAAACGACTCTCCAGAGCAGGTGTACAGAAGCAACCGGCTGCCGCCATGGCAAACTTCAGGGCCTTCCTGGATCATTTTACCAACAAAACTGTAGGACAAAGCTTCTCGCCATTGTTTTTTTCCATTCCTGTAGTCAGGAAACCAAACAACCCTGTGCCAGGTCGCCCACAACTGCTGGCTACATGGCCCAAGACTACACAGATCACTGTAAAGATGAAGGTAGAATACATTCTGAACTTGAAGCATTGCTTTTAACGCCATTACCGATATTGCCGTAGGGCCGTACGGGGGGGCCCAAATTTGTCCCATTTGGTCCAGGACGACTAAGAGTTATATAATGCATACCTACTCTCTATGCCGTGTGCTTAGTAGTCTTTCTTTCTGAAGCACAGTCCCTTCTCGCAGCCATCTCACTCAGACCAGCTTCACTGTGGCGCGGCTACCGGACAAAAGGACAGGGTGGGATGGCGTCTTTGCGCATGGAGAAACCATCGTTGCAGCACTCTTCCAGTGAGGAGCAACGCATGAGGTCGGTGTTACAGACCATTCGGCAACGCTCACGGAAGGCCACTCCAAACGTTTTTGCCTTGTCGTGCGCATAGAGACATCACTTCTAGATGCCTCGCGCTTCCTAGGATGACCAACGCCGCGAATTTTTCTCGGCCTGCCCGTCGCAATGAGCATCAACGACTCTTCTATTGTTCGTCTTTGTGATCGATAGGCTCGTCATTTTTGTTGACGAGGGGACATACAGCAGCTTGGGGCGCTTTGGGATGCTGGTGCCTCATTGTTGAGGGACATCGCGGATTTTTTAGACCCGAAGGCGGTTGTGACCCGAAGCGCGGGACGGCGCGCCGCTTCTTGCAGGCTGCCGATATCTTCGCGCTGTTTGGGGAATCAAATTAATCGCATCATGAGGTTGTCACTTGCCGCGCAATGTCTCATTCTCCTTACGGCAAAGAAAGAAAACAAGGTGCCGACTGGGGCGGCCCAACCGACCAGGGGTAGCGAACGCCGTGCTTGAACGCGCGCGCCTATACGTTTCCAAATGCACATTTTTTTCATTTTGGTCTCAAATTCAGGGAGTTCATTTCTTGCCGTTCTTCCGAGCCTGCTGCCCCTCCAATTAGGCCCTGTTTTTTTGCGAAATGCGGCTACCAGAACTGTAGCAGCAACCGTCGCAACTTTCGCCCCGTCTTTCTCCCTTCAGGCGCCGTTCCAACGTCTTCTCTTTGCCACCAGAAATCCTACATCTTATCTTCTCGGAGACTTTTGCAACAGACGCCTGTGCGGTGCAGCGGTTGCGAAGCGTCGATCGCGCATGGAATGCCCTTGCAAACGGCCTCGTCACGGGGCTCAGAGTTGCGCCAACGCCAGCGCCATTCGAGCTTGCCGCGCGCCTTCCCAACATAAAAATGATTATCATCGATCCTTCCGACACCCAAGCCGCAAGCGGCGCCAAACTCGCAGCTCTTCTTGCGCAATTATCCTCGTTGCCGGCCCTGGCGCGTCTTTCCATCCACGCCATCTGCTCGGCCGCCACAGCAGCCCTCACCAACCTCAGCCGCATCAGCCGCCTTGAATCCCTGGACCTATCCCGCTGCGATCTATCAGACCTTCCGCCTTCAGTCCTCGAACTGCAAAAACTCGAGGCTCTACGAGCCGCGGATTGCGGACTTTCTCGCCTAGGCGACCTGGGCGCCCTCGCCGCCTGCCTGCGCTGCCTCGACCTCAGCGGCAACAAGTTGACAAAGCTACCGGATGGCCTCTCGCGCCTCAGCCGTCTGACGTCCCTCAACGTGAGCAACAACAAGCTGTCAAGCGAGGTGCTAGTGCCCGAGCTGGGTGCTCTTCGGGAGTTGGCTGATCTTGACGTCGGCGGAAACAGGTGTGTGGGCCCCGGAGGGGCCCCGGGTGTGTGTCGCGCTTGCGTATAGGTTTTCATGGCTAAGCTGCCTGAACGCGCGAGCGCTTCGTGTGTTGTGCGCTGGTCTTCCTTCGTTTTCGATTTTCGGTTTCTTTTTGTCTCTTGTTGTAGGCATCTCTTAAGAGCACACACGAGGCGTCCATGGCCTCCATGAAATGTATGCTAGTCGGGGCTGTCGGGGCTGGTACCGTGAAATGCGCCTTCGAAAGCAGCAGCCATTTTGTGTAAAATATGCAAAACTTTAATACCTACAAAATTTAGATATGGCTTACAATCGATGTACACGTATATACTACTGGAGTGGACAGATTTCCTGATTTGAAATATTGATTTGATGCAGCCAAAGAGGAATTCCCTCTTCGCGTCGGATATCCTATCCCCGCTCTCGTCCTATTTTTCGCAATACCGCCTTCCGTTTTCTGGGTCGCAGTCTGGGTGTACTGCCAGGCTGTCTCCCGTGCCTCACGGCGCTCACCCGACTGGACGCGTCCGACTGTGACCTGGCCGCCCTGGGGGGGTCCGGACTTGAGCTGCTCACAGGTGCGACAGGCGAGCGGTAGGGCCTTGGCGGGCGGGGGAGATGGAGCAATTGGCAATTACAATGTGGCTTAAGGGTTTCACCGTTGTATGATGCCTTTTTTTATTTTAATCGTGTGAGATGTTTCTATTGTGCGGCAGGTCTGCCCCCTCCTCTCCCTGCGTGCGGGAGGGGGCCCAGGGGACGGTAATAAGGAGCGCCATCCAACAGCAGGGACAGCCTTCCGCACTGGAATGCGCTGTTGTCTTGGTGTTGTTGCTGCTGCTGCTAGTGCTAGTGCTAGTGCTAGTGCTAGTGCTAGTGCTAGTGTTTTAATTCGGTCAACAGGGCCGCGATGAAAACTGCATGTCGCGATGTACAAGTACGCTGTCCATCAGGCAAAACAAAAAATTGTTTTTGCACGCGCGCCTTGCGCCTTGCGTTGAGCTTGCGAAATTGTACTCTGCCAAAAAAGGTATCCCCAAATTTTATCCTAGCAGCCAACCCAAACATCTTCACGGAAATGCCCCAATGAAAATCTTGTACGCGTGTTGCCGTTGCTGCATACTCTGCCATTTCGCGGGAGAAAGGTCTTCGCCAGCTCAACCTAAGTGGCAACTGGCGTCTGGGGCACTGCACGCCAGTCGTCACCGAGCTGACTCAACTGACACAGGTGCGTGGGATTTCCGTCTATTATCCTTATTATAACTCACACAGTGCCGTACCTGTCGTACCCATCCTACTCATTGGACGCCCCGACACGTTCAAGACTAACACCATTGCCGCTCCCCCGCCGCTGTGTTTTCCTCTCCCAAGCTGGACGTGTCGGGTTGCGGGCTGGTGGGACTCCCTGTCGTACTGGGCTCTGCGACCCAGCTTCTGCAACTGCACCTCTCTGCCAACGACCTGCAACAGGTGCGGACAGGCACAGGATGCAGCCCCCCGTGGGGGCCCTTTTAAACACACTTAACAGTAAAGACAAAACACCAAAACACCTGAGAAGAAGCAGCCCCTAGGACGCACACCGAAGGATGTACGAGGGCGACGAACACTGTACGAGGATCGAGCTGGCAGGACCCTGTTGGGGGGGTGGATGAAGAGAGGGGGCGTAGCAGGACACCGGGGGCAGCTTGACCGGACTGCCCTGCGCACTACTGGGTTTTGCATGTCTCTGTGGAGTTGTGTAACGGGTTCTATGGATCACGGTTGGGATGCATGGCGTGTTGGAAGCACCCCTTGCGCTTCCCTTAGCCCCGCCTCCCGCGCCCCCATGTCCCCCCGCACCTCTCCCGCACCTCTGCCCTCCCTCCCTCCCTCCCGCCTCCCCCTGACTACTCAGGTGCCCGAGTGCGTGTCCCGCCTCACCCGGCTCCGGTCGCTGCATCTGGACTTCAACTCCCTGTCAGTCCTGCCCTCCTTCCTGGCGGCCCTCTCCGCCCTCACCTCCCTGGACCTCAGCGGCAACTCCCTGACCGACCTGCCCGCCAGCATGAGCCGACTGACGGCCCTGAGGCACCTCACGCTGGCCAGCAATGCACTGGAGAGGGTGGGTGGGGCGACTGAGGGCGAGGGTGGGATGGGAGGATGAGGGACATGGGAAAAGAGAAGCGAAGAGGGGCGTGGCGGTCTGTCGCGGTTGGGCGGCACCTCCGCGCCCCCTCTTGGTGTTACTGCCCTCCCTGTCTGTACACCTGTGTGGGCCCCCCCCCGGGGCTTTCTAAACCCCGACCCTCTGTCCTATCGGCCCGTCTTACCGAACCACTCACCCACCTGCCCGCTAGCTCGACGTACCACCTGCACCCTGTCACTTTAAAACATACACACGCACACAGACAGACAGACAGACAGACACAAGCACACACGCGCCCTAGCTCGCGTCCACATAGCCATCCGCTTTGCGGTGCAGGTTCCCGACTGCGTGGCGAACATGACAACTCTGCAGGTGAGCTCGGGCTCGTGCGCCCAGAGGGGACGTCCAGCGTGTGTACGTATGCACTTATGTATGTGTATGGTTATATATGCTCGGGGGAATGCGGCACGCAGCATGCAGAAGGCTACAGGGGGCGCCTGCCTGGGCGAGTAGTGCCCTTACGGTCCTTAGCGGTTGATCCGGTACTCACCGTGAGAAACAACCCCAACCCCCCTCTCCGCCGCCTGCACTGCTCTGCGGCTAAGTTGAACTCCTCCCCTCGCACAGCGGCCCACTGCTACCCACGACTGACTACAAACCAACTCAACCACTCAACCGTCCGCTCATTCACCCAACCACCCGCCCGCCCACGGGGCCACCCCCGCCACCCCCTTGGCGTTTCCGCTCATGCCCAGGAGCTGGACCTCTCCTGCAACCGGCTAGCTGCCCTCCCCGTCGCCCTGTGCTGCTCCTTGCCTTCCCTGGACTTCCTCTCCCTCGCCGGCAACTGCCTGACCCGGCTGCCCCCGGAGATCAGCCGCCTGTGCCGCCTCACCTGGCTCGATGTGGCGGACAACCGGCTGGACGGTCTGCCCGGGACATTGGCGGACATGGAGGGCCTGTTGGTGCTCAAGCTGCGGGGGAACTGCCTGGTGTCGCCCCGGCCGCCGGCGTTTAAGCGGTGGATGGCGCGTATGCGTTGCAGGGCGGCTGCCGCAGCCAGTGCAACTGCGGCGGTGGACGCAGCGGCCTGGGGGTTGTCGATGTCGGGATCTTGGTCGGTGAGGGTAGCGGCGGCGGCGGCGGCGGTGCCGTGTGCGCCCAGTGAGCGGGCGCGAGCGGCGGCCGCGGCGGACCTGGAGGCGGAGTACGAGGATGAGGAGGATGGCAGCGAGAGCGGGGGCAGTGGTGGGGGTGCGGGTGAGGAGGAGGGCGAAGACGAGGAGGAGGAAGAAGGAGAAGAAGACGAGAACGGCGATGTGGTGATGGCAGTGGCGGAGGCGGAGGCGGCAGGGCTGGGTGAAGGGTGGGATGACGGCGAGGAGCCGTTGGCTGGCGGCGGTGTTCATGGGGTCCATGGGGATGAGGGAGGCGCGCAGGTGGCGGGTGTTGGGGGTGGGGGTGGCTTGGGGCTGGGAGATGCAGCTTCAGAAGATGATGCGGATTCGGACAGCGACGGCGACAATCAGGGTGGGGATGAAGACGATGATATTGTCATCGGCGGCGACAGCGACAGCGAGGGGTCCGAGGCGGAAGGAGTCAGCGAGGAGGGCGATGGTGGAGGTGAGGGTGGTGCCGGTGAGGGAGAGGAGGACTTGGGGGTAGTGGCAGGAGGAGCGGAGCAGGCGGAAGGGGAGGAAGAGGACGAGGAGGGCGGATCAGATGGAAGCGAAGATGAAGAAAATGGCGGGGAGGAAGAGGCGGAGGTGGGGCCTGAGGCCGAGGGGGCAGCGGCTGCAGGAGGCCAGGTACATCACCCTGGGCACGCTGCGGCTGGGGCTGCTGCTGCGATGGCGGTGGAGATGGAAGGGGAGGAAGCGGGGGACCCTTGGCGAGGCTGGGAGAGCGCTTCTGCTGCATGGTTGGGGGAGGAAGTGGAGTGCGGCCGGCGGCGGAAAGCTAGCTGGTGGCTTTGAATCGCCAGATTGCATAGACAGAAAGTTCCAAACGGCCAGACGAATTTCGGTGAAAGATGATTGATGAAAATTTGTCGTTGTTTTGCTGTTTGTTGGCTCGTATTTTTCTTTTTTTACCCCGGGGGAAAAGGACCCAACGCGCTGTGGAGATACAGCGAAACGGAACAAGAACGGTCGATCGTGCCGCTTTAGCATAAAGCTGTTCCGGTTATTGAACAAACAAGACAACGAATGGACGGAGGGGCCCTCTCCCGAACAAACGATTTGATATTTGAGGGTAATATGGTGACGATGTGGGGGAGAAGATATGCAGGCGGTTTCTGTGTGGCGCTGAAAACGGGAGACTAATAAAGAGGTGTGTGTGTGTGTATGTGTATGTGTGCAACGCTGACACACAAGTCGTTGTTTGTCGAGTTGAGCACCTTGGGGTGGGTAATCAGAACACATATGGCGATATGTGTGTGTGAACTGCACACACACTGCCGCCTGTCCGTCTGTCTTTTTTGTCTCTTTCTTGTTGAGCGACTGGACGCAATACCGTGCGGCGTTGTGGATGGCTGACGACGTGGTGTATACGCGGAAATAAGACAATGTCTCTGCCGACTACTCGACACTGCACGGCGTGACACAGTTGCATATCGTAACCTTACTTTGGGGGGTGACTGACTGACCGACTGACCAACCTTAACCGAGCATATCTAAAAATCTATTTTACATGAGTTGCCGTGTTGTTCCATAAATTGGTGCTCTATATCCTCTGAAATTACTTCATTCAGAAGTGCGTACGGTAATGCGTGTGTCTCGACGGGAATCTCTGGCTCTCTGCATTCTTCCGATTCTGTGTTTTCACATGCTGAACTGGGCGGGGGGAGTGCGTGTGCGGTATATAATATGCAAACGTTGCCCGTATGTGTGCCTGTTTGCAATTTGGGGGCCACTTCTTTCACACGTGCCAATCGACATCAACGGCTGTTATCTCGGCAGCAGCTCTCTTTATCTAGCTACTTATGTATGTGTGTATGTATCTCGACCACATGTTTGACCGAGGAGCCTTAATGCATTCCAAGAGCAGTTGGCCAGCCCTGAATCCCGACGGACAGGCAAGGACTAACCCCCAGGATGAATCCCTCCACGGAGGAGGGGTGTCTCACGGGGTGCACATGTATGTATGTGTGTGTGCCCATGTTACCTGATTCACTTCATTGCTGTCTGTATTGAACCTCGTCGGACACTCAGCTACGTTTCGGACGTCGTCGTACTTTGTAGTTGGTGATGGTGCTTCCACCACGAACAACTTTCCTTCTCAGGGCGGCAACCAGTGCTCGGCCACGTTCTGGAGTGGGTTGGGGAGAGAGGGAGGAGGACTCGAGGCTGGTGGAGACATGTATGCGACTTGGTGCACGTGTATGTATGTATGTATGTATGTGTGTGTATGCTCCGGAAGACGGCGCTACGCGTGAACGTGCATGTGAGCTTTTGTGTATGCGCAGGTTTGTGTGTATGTATGTCTGCATCCTCACAGGGAAAGCATCACTCACATCGCAGCACTGGTGTATATATTCCATGTGCATGACACGGTACGAATGTGACGTACATCACATGAGATACGTTGTCAACACAGTAGTAGTTATATGTATCTGTTTCTTTCCTATTTGACGTCGTTGGCGCCCCTCAGGGCACGGATGGGCTCATGTTAGTAGCAATAACCCCAGAACTCCACACATACACATACGTACGTAGCTAAAAGCCTGGTCCGTCTGCCTCCAGGCGCGTGCATATATGCATGTAAATCATTGTCCATTCGCAGGAAGTTCTGGGAGCCCGGTGGTGGGAGGTTCTACCGGTAGCTAGCGACCTCGCCAATGCGAAGTCGGATACGGATTCAGCGCTTGTCAGCGATTGCCCTGGAGTTTCAGGTCTTGGGGAGGGCTTCCACAGCGAGGGTGTCCCCCGGGCACACAAGGTATACGGCCCTCCACAGTCCAAGCGTGTCATCCACTTTGTGGCTCAGCAGCAATGCAGCACGTCGTTTGGAGAAAGTGACCGAGAACCAACGTCAACTTCTCCAACCCACGTCAACAATCGCAACCACAAAAACGCAACGAAACATAATCACTGCTTGGACCTCCAATTATAAAAACCATTAAAAAAACATTTTTCATTTCGCAGTACCCTTCCTCCCCATCAACGACACCTCCTGCAGCCCAGAAGTCATCTCACAGAACAACCAAACGCCCCCAACATACAGCTTAGCACCTTGCGGCGAAACTGAGGACAAGGTCCACAACCAACTAGACGTGTTAATGTAACCAAAAACTCGGAACAGGTTCCCCATTACCTCCCGCCGAGAATCCGAAATCCCAAAGGCAGCCGGCAACACTCCACAGCCACGTGCAAGCTCTCCGGACATCCCATCCCCAGAGGACATCAACACACACCACATCTCATCGACTCACTCACAACACGTCGAATGCAACAAATCTGATTTGGGTCATTCAGGTAGGCCGGGTCCCGGTCATCCAACGTTCCCGACACTCCTCTCGCTCCCTCTTTCCGCTCTGTCATCCCTCACGCCGCGGCCTTGCTAGCCTGCAGCGCCATTCTCCTAGCGTTTGCAAAGGCCCCCACTCGCTCCCCACTGGGGTGGAAGAACACCGCCTCCACCGTATCACCCTTGCTCCGTAGCTCCACCGTCCAACCAGGCTGTCCAGAGAAAAAAGGGGCCCAGGAGCAGGCAGTTGGGGGGGTTAGGCGGATAGGAGGGGGAGTCGGGTGAACGCTGGTCGCGGGGCCGTAAAAGGAACCCAACAGTATGCCTTGCGACAGTTCGTCGCATTATGACGAACTGTGATACGCGACATGGTATCGAAATGATGACGGCGGTGGTGGCATCAGAGGCAGCAGCAGCAGTAGCAGCAACTGCAGGAAGCCTCCTTACGTACCTGAAGCAAGTCCAGCTCGGCAAACCGCTCCCTCCGGAACGAGTATTCCTCGGGCAACCCACTGACCGGACCTCTGGGGTACACCACCGCCTGGACGGGGGGCTGCGGACTCTTCCCAACCGCTCCGGAGTCCGCACCACCGCCGCCGCGACTGCCGCCATCACCTCGCAACCCCGATGGCGGGGCTGCTGCCTCCGCCGCCGTGCTGCGGGCGGTCCTCCCGCTGACGCTGGCTGCGGCGCCTGTGGCTTGCCGACCTTCCGCCGCCGCGTAAGGCCCTGCAGCACAGGATCCAAAGTCCCGAAGTGGCTTTATCTTTCGAAGGAAGAGCGCATGGACTCCAGAGGGAACACACCAACAGCAGTTCGTTATGTCGGTTACCCTACCTACCGGCCAGGTACCGAAGCGACGAAGTTACCAACCGGTTTGGCAGGGTTATTCCCGACTGGTGACAAGCAAAAGGAGAATCCGAATGATCTCCATAAAGGCTCTTGGGGACAAACGCAGAGGGGGACAAAGCAACTGCCTCCCAGCCACCGACCAGTAGCTTGTCGCCAGGCTTGCAGCGGCATACATAACAGCCAATCCTATAAAAGCCAGTTTTCCAAATGAACCTTTATATTTCTTGTTGCTTTTTACAGGACGCGAACTTCCGCGCGAACATGGTAACAGGGTTCTCTAGCGTATTTTCCATATTATAGCAGCCACAAGATTGTATAGTTTTTTAAATGTTATGCGAACTGCAACATCCTGCCTCTTCTTTTCCCCAGCAGCATGCACACACTCGCCGTCTCCCATCCTCCTCTACCCCTCTTTCCCTTCCTCCCTTAACCGTGCGTACCAGTCGTACTGGCCCCCTCCGCCTCCGCCGCCTCCGGCCCCAGCGGCGCCGCCATCACCGGCCGCCCCACCGCCGCCGCCGCCGCCGCGCCAATCCAGTTGGCGAACTCCTCCACCGTGGCTCCCTCCGCCATCACCGCCAAGCTCAGCACCTCCAGCCGGCCACCCACACCCCCCCGCGAAGAGGCCGCCGACTGCTGCTGAATAAAGTTATGCAGGTTGCGGAAGGAGCCCGGTTCTACCAGCGCCACGGCCGTGCAGACCCCCCCAGCGGCCCCGCCGCCAACGTCAAGCGACTGCACCTCCGCTGCCTCCCTCTGCAGCAGCTGCTCCAGCTCCTGTTGGGATCCCACGGGTACTGATAGCTTGAGCCGCATCCGGGCTCGTTCTATTGGGAACTCCTTTTGCAACAGGGGAAGCGCCTGGGGGCAGGACAGCGGGGGAGGGGGAGGGATTGGGGGATGGGTGGGAGGATGGGCCCCTGGCGGACCCAGGAGGCAGTCGCGGCCACTACTACACCATCACCACCACCAGTAACACCACCGCAGTCGCAATGGCTACCGAGAAAACGAGACAGACATCCCTCCACTCTTCCGCGTAGCCCAATGCTGCCGCCTCTAAAGCCCCCTCCCTCGCTCCCTCGCTCATTCACCACTCTTAAGTGGTAAGCTTTATGTACTTTGCTAACAGTCTGCTGCTCTCGACACCTCTCTCCGCTATCCCGGGCGTGTCCTACGAGGCCGTGCGCTGTCCTGATCTCCCCCACAGGCACAAGTCATGTATTTCCTGCCTGCCCACCCTCGAGCTGTGGACCGCTACCCCCAGACCCCCCTCCATGCAGACCAGCTCCGCAATGCCGCGCACCTCCAGCGCCTGCTGCTTTGCTGACTTCTTGGGGTCCACGTTGAAGTGGATGTCCCGCAGCGCCCGCTCCAACATGGATAGCGTGTACGGCCGGTTGGTGGCGGGGTTGATACACTTCTCCACTAACACCCCGGCCACATCCTTGAACAAGTGTTCGTACTCCAACTTGCGCTCCTTATCAGACACCTGTACAGGCCGTGTACGGAAGGATGCCGTGTACGATACGCATGCACTCGTTCGTAATCCATGGCGCCATGGTAGGGCCGCATTAAAGCTAGCTGCACGCAGTCGGCTTCGTCCTGAAAGGTGTAACCACGTGACTGTTCGTCGGTCGAGTGGGGGGCTATCCAGGAGCCATGCACGAGGCCATGCGCATTTTTACCCGCGCATGTTGTTGTTTAGTGTGCTGCTGTGAGGGAGGTAGCAGTGATGTGGTCCAGAAGGTATATCCTGAGCATACCCCAACTCCCCTCGCACGTCCTGCCTCCCCTCCATCGTCCTCCTCCCTTTCTTCACCCATATCCCTTTCCCTTACCTTTAGGCTCACCCGAGTTGCCAAGTCCTCCACTCCCTTTCCCCCCCTCCCCTCTGCCATTTAAACTCCCTCGTCTTCCCCTTCCCCACCCGCATCCATGCACCCTCCGTTGCCCCGCTCCCCCCCTCCTGGTCCTGGCGGTCCCACCTGCAGCTCCCCTTTGGCGAGAATCTCCAAGCAAATGGCCTTCTGGTCGCTGGTTCCGAAAGCCGCCATCAGCTCCTTGTCCTTGGCCACCACCCCCTTACCCACATTGTGGAAGATGGTGGTGGTCTGAAGCACTTCATCAAGGTCCTTTTCGCTGCGGAAGAGGGAGAGGAGGAGGAGCAAGCGGAGGAACAAATTGGTGTGAGGTAGGTAGGTAGGCAGGTAGGTAGGTGTGCGAGGGAGACCGAAATGCAGTAACACAATCACGGAGAGGGCAGGGGGTTATGATGACGATGGTGGCAAACAAAACCAAGCCGTGTAAAACCAAGCCCCCAATCACCGAATGCAAGCATAGTGCCCCGGGCCAAGGATGGCAAAGGGTGTGTGCGGACTGGGGGAGGGCAGGGGGGAACGGCTCTGTTGGGTTGTGTCTCTTTGGATTGCAGCTCCCGGCCTTCCGGCCGCGTTGGGGGCACGCAGGGAACGCGGGCGCCGGGCAAGGGCCCAAGCGTGGAAAGTGCGCTTGGGCTTGGGCTTGGGCTGGAAAAAGGGGATGATCATTTGCAATGAAACAGCCATCCGCTGATGATGCCCAGAGCACCAACCAAGCCGCGGCGGGAGGTTTGCATGTGGGCAGGTACCAAACCCTGTTAAACCTTGTAGGCCATCGCTGGTCGCCCAAACCCGGGGAGTTCCGTGGACAGGATCTAGCTGTAAGAAGGACGAGCGCTGTGCTGGTTGTTAGGGGGTTGGAGGGGGTGAGGGACGGGTGTGTCTTGGGGGGTTACATTGTGGAGCGGAATTGCATGTTGGAGGGTTGATGATCCTCTCCATTACTCCCTCTAACCCTCCCGCCTTTTGTCCCCATGCCCCAAGTTCGGCATCGTTGCTCACATGCCGCTGCGCCAGTCACCAACTTTGTTCTTATAGCAAGCAATTTCAAATCGTTCGCCGTTCTTTTTTAGTCGTACCACGGCGATGTTGGTCAGGCGCTTTTGACCTGTAACAATGCGTGAACAGGGAGGAAGCGACAAACGGCCAGAGGAAAGGTTGAAAGGCAGGGAAGAACGGTCACGACAATTAAGACATAGGAGTAAGCACATGCTCGCCGCCACGCGGGGCCCGCCAACCCAGGCCTGGAGTGCCATCCGAAATTTAAGCATGGCAACGAGGGAATATAGTTATCTCACGTGGCGATATATGGTGGGACTAATAATGGGTTGCGCGGTGCAAGCGCGTAGCAGTGCAGCATCGGCCGGCAGCTGGCAGCGGGTGTTAGAACCGCCCTTGGCATAAAGCGACACCAGCGCGCCCCCACCTGCATCGCTTTCGTCCTCCTCTCAACAACGACCTAATTACGAGAATCATGTGCTCCTTTGGGTGTTTGATCCTACCTGCCATCTACCATCCACGGACTAGGGCACCTAACTCATTTGGGTTTGCATAGTGATGGGTCAACTCTAAAGTCATAACAAAGGCCAGCTAGGTATCCAACTTAAAAACTTATACTTCTGGTCCTCTTCGGAGGGCAGTTGCCAGAAGCATCTTGCGACAACCAGTTGACCGGCACTAATCGCACGAGCGCGATAAAAGATTGCGAGGTATGTGGCCGCCACACATTAATCCGCTCCATCACCGATGCAGGGCCTTGCCATGCCTTCCGCCGACTCCCATCCCGACACTCACCCACGGGTTGGAATACCCGAGACATAGCTACCTATAACTGTGCAAATTGTGCTGAAAGAGAAGGAGATCTAAATTAAGCACTGTTAAGGTTATATTAACGTAGGAGACAGGCAAGCAGCTCTGCTGGGCGTATGCCTTTTATTACAACCATGGACAGAAGCGAAACGCATACATCATGGAGGTGGAAACAAAATTAACTTGTGGGGCTGACTCTTTGCCCAACCATCCTTCAATGGTGATACAACAAGTGTTGTACGACATGCAACGGAATTTGGCGCCAGGTTACCAGCCCTGAGCTCTCCCTGGCAGTTGTTGACTTCTTTGTGAGCACCTCACCTAATGCTATGATAGTTTGAAGTGCATATACCCACCTTTACTTCAGACCTTTGCTCTCTGAGCAGCTGTCGCCTGGCTCGTATGGAGGCGAATCTCTACCTTTCTTGAGCACGCAAGCCTAAAGCGTGCACGACATGGCTACAGCTGCAGGACTCAACCAGCAGGCAGCACTTGAGCGAGCTTTCGCTTCAAAAAATTATAGTTTCAGCGACGCTGCCCTCACAGTCCGAGCGCAGCAGCTGACACAGCAGCTGCAGATTACCCCGGAATCTTTTGCAAATCAGTATGACAGCTTCGCCCTTATTAGGTACGCGCGTCGGGACAGGCATTTCTGCGGCTTAAACCCACTGATGTTGGGCCGACAGTATTCTGCTGACAGTGGCACAGAGACAACGCCATGGAAGCGAGAGCATTTTTTCCACATGATACCCATGCTCTTCGCATACCGCGCATGCTTACACGTACACCTGCCAAGTAGAGCCCACACTAGTTCGTCTCGCTGACTTCGCAGCGACTGGAGCATGGAGGTAACAGCGCAGCGGCTCAAGGTTGTTGCAGACTACCTGGAGAGTGAGCAGCGCAAGGAGAACTCACGGCCGCGTGGGGCCCCCAGCGGCATGGGCGGCTCTGCCATTAAGGCTGTTCCCCAGGCAGCGAAACCCACATGGGAGGAGTAAGTATGGCGCCAAGCCTTTGATTGCCCAATTGCAATGCTCTCCCCACGTTAGCCATGCGGTGAATGTTTTCATTATCCGTAACCAACACTTGAAACGGCGCGCCAACATTTGAAACGGCGCGCCAACCCTGCCACTGCCTTGGCCCATTCACGTGTGACTGCCTGGGCGACCCTCCTTTCCGCGGTTACTTGAGTTTCCAAAATCCTCCAAAATCTTTCCTCCAACTCCTGTCGCTCTTTCCTCACTCCATATTTCCCCCTTCTGGTTCTTGTCTTTCTGTTAATCCACGCCGCAGCTTGCCCGACAAGTTGGATTATACCACTCCAAGTGCCAAGCGACAGGCATTGGACCCAGCCTCAGTCAACCCGGGGAACGCAACTAAGCCATCGGCGGTAGGCGCGGTGATGGGCACGCCGCAGCCATCAGGGCTACAGTCCCAACAGCAGCGGCGGGGTGCCGGCGGCGGCGCCGGCAGCATCGCGACCACGCCGCTTGCATCTCGGCCGGCAGCGGGCACACCATCGACGCAGCCGCCCAGCGCATTTTCGCTGCGTACTAATGTAAGTAACATTAAGCTCCAAACTCTGCAGGATTAGTCCTTTTGCAACTTCTGCTTCAGACCGCCAGACTGGGGCCTCGTGGTCTTGACACATCGCAGTGTTGTACCGTGTATTTCTTGATGCTGCATTGGTTTGGGTTGAGCGGCAGAGCCAAGGGAAAGGGAGGGAGCCGTAAGGGGTGGGGTTATGTGTTCTGTTGTGGTGTGGGTGGAAGGCTGACCTCCTGGGTATGGTCGTGTGCCACCATCTCCTCCGTGCTGAAAGTACCCTTAGCTCCCAAGCAACATCCACGGATTGCTCATCCCTCAACGTATGGCTCTTCTCTTCATCCGTTATCCCTCATCCGTTCGCCTGGCCGATGGGGCTCTCGCCCACACCCCCATCATTATCCTCAATTGGCACGTTAATTCCCCACCCCACATCCATTTCATGCTGTCCGTGTGTTTAATACAGCAAGGCCAGCTGGTTGCAGTCCTGAACGACAACCTGCCTGGCCCAGCAGCGTATACCCAGCAGCGGGGTTCTGGTGTGGTGGTTCGGCAGCTGGGCCAGCCTCCGCTGGATACGGGGGCCCTGCTGTTCATGATGGAGGTGCTGGAGACGAAGGTACGGAGGTGGGGGGAGGGAGGGATGTGTCAGGATAGGGCAGAAGAGGTACGTGAAGCACAAGTTCTTTCCTCAGGAAGCCAGCAAAATATCTACCACTAACTAACAATTCCTGGCGCATTTACTAACCGTACACCTGTGCGCCATGCCAGAATAGCAGGCCAGCTTCAACACCGAAGGGGGTGACCGTGGTTGCTGCATCCTTTGGCCATCTCTCCCTTTGGTCGCCTCTCCTAACCCGCAATACGCAGGTCCATGCCCTGGATGAGCGCATCATGGACTTTGCAGACGCGCTCACCGCGGCGACACGGCACTTAGCCACAGCCTCGGGCACTGTCGCATTGCAGCCACCGGCAACGGGCACGCCCCGTGGCGCAGCTGCCGCGATTAACACGCCGCTAGGGCTTGCACCGCCGCCGGTGGCATCGGCGGTGGTGGGCACACCGTCGGCTGCGGCACAAGCCGCCGCCACGCCGGGGGCTCTCTTCACGCCAGGCGGCAGCGGTGCCGCTCCGCCCCAGGCTGCAGCCGCCGCGCCTGGCGTGGCCGAGCCGCTGCAGCACTCTGTGGCCGATATGAGCCACCAGCCTGTGTGGGTGGCGGGGCGGGTTTTAGCGGAAACTGAGGGAGCACCCCTAAACTCAGAGAGCTTGTTGCTGGAGGGTTGTCGTGAAGCCAGCGGTGGAGCGCGAGTGCGGCTGGACGTCTCGTGCCTACCAGCCTACAGGTGGGTGGGTGGGTGGGCTGGCTTCCCGGAAAGGTTAAGAGGAGAAAAGCCCGCCCGCTCGGGGCGCCTGTTAGGGGAACAAACGTAACAGGTACGGTGGGAAGTGTAAGGAAAGTAAGGAGACGCGTCCGGGGAAGACACCAACGCGCGCGTTTCTTGACGCGCGTGAAGATTGAGCTTGGGGGGGCCCACGGAGCCCCCAGGATTACACGGGGTGAGAAAGTATAGCTGGGAGCTTTGCGTGCAGCCCTGCGTCCGTTACCCGGGGAGCTGGAAGAGCGCTTCTCAGTCGTTAGGCTGTGCCGCCTACTTGCATCGTACGGGCAGGCTCTTCCCCGGCCAGTCCATCTGCGCCTACGGCCTCAACCCCACGGGAGGCAAGTTCATCGCACAGAAGCTGGTGACGCATGTGCCGCCACCACCACCACCGTCATCAACAATGGTGACGGCGGGGGCCACAGCCGGGCCCAACGGGGCGGCGTCGCGGGAGGGCGGCCTCTCCTTAGTTGTGGCGGCCGGACCCTACTGTCTGTCGGAGGATCTGTCGTACTCGCCACTGGAGGAGCTCCTGTCGTACTGCAATGGTGGGTAGGGCCGGGATAGCGGGGTTGTACGTTAGGGATGGACGGTCCAGGCCTTTCCGTAGCGGCGATGGATTACCGGTTGGGAGTGTGAGACTTGTTGTCGTGCAGCTCTGCTTCCATCGTGTTGTTGCAGTTTATCTCTACTGCACCCCCAGTCCCTCCCTTTCCGCGGCTCCCCCTTCCTTTCCCTGCAGCCCACCCGCCGGATGTGCTACTGCTGCTGGGTCCCTTTGTGGACCAGGAGCACCCTGGACTGTTGGCAGCTGACCGCACCGCTGAGTCGTTCCTACGTGAGGAGGTGGTGAGGAGGCTGGCGGTGTGGAGGGCCGAGCACCCCGCCGCGATGGTGGCTATCATGCCGGCAGTTCGCGACCTTACCGCGATGCCGGTGCTGCCGCAGCCACCCATGACGGCGGTGGCGCAGGCAGTGGGCCCGCCAGACAAGGTGTGTCCGTGTGTGTGTACGTGTTCGTATGTCTGTTCCAACTCGCCTGCCTGCGATGGAAGAAACCTGCCTGTGATAGAAGAAAGCAACGCCTGCGTGTCGTGTTTGTTCGTCCGTTTCTGTGTCTGTCTTGGTGCCAATCTTCAGGCTCCTGACGGAATGAGCCCCTTTCTGGTCTTTCCAGCCAGTCCCATTCCATCCTGCCTTCTCACATTACCACCTCCTCGCCCCTCCTTGCCCCTGCACTGCTGTCCCGGTCATTCATATCTGCACCCTTCCCCGTGCGATCTCCCTCCCAGGCTATTGCCCTCCAGAACCCCGCCACTGTGTCCCTGGGCCCCCTTCTGGTGGGGGCCTGCTCCACGGACCTGCTCAAGGCACTGAGTGCCAGCGAACACAGCCGGATGGCCCCGGGGACGACTGCTGGGGGTGGGGAGAGGTTGCCGGCTCTGGCAAGCCATGTGCTCGGGCAGCGCAGGTGGGTGGATGGAAGGGGCGGGGGGAGGGTGGGTGGACGTCAAGGGGTTGGGGTTGCCTACCTCGAGGTCGACGATCAGGGTGTGAGGGGAACACGGAACAAAGTATGAATATGGGACTCTCCCCTTCCTCTTGTGGTAGCGGAAAGCTGTTACCCGTGTGGATGCAGTGAGCACGATGGGTACCCAGGTGCTGCCCACACGTTGCACGAGAACGCCGTGCACAGTGCCCAGGTTGGCATTACCTCTACACAAGTCAACGAATCCTAACTTTAGGCCTCCAACTTCTTGCTATGAACCCGCGCGGCCGTCCGCTGAACCACCAACCCCTAACACTATCGCCGGGCCAGGGCTCCCCCCATCTGACCCTCATCACCTCCCTGCCCATATCGAACCTGCCACAGCTACTACCCGCTCTACCCGGCCCCACCGGGCACCTGTCTGGACACTAGCCACTACAGCCAGCTACAGTTGCCCGTTGCGCCGGATGTGCTGCTACTACCATCCGATTTGGCGCCGTTCGCAAAGGTACTGACGCCCGCCACGTGGATGGCGGGGGCCCCGCCGGACTTCATGGAGGCTGTCAATCGTACTGGCAGCACTGGTGCAGCAGCGGCAGTGATGAGTACGGCGCCAGTGGTGGTGATTAACCCTGGCCGGTTGTCCCGGGGTAGTGCGGGCGGCACGTTCGCCCACGTGGTGGTGTCGCCTGGGGCTGCGCCGGTGGTGGAGAGGACTCGAGTGGAGGTCAGGCGTGTTTGAGGAAGGGCCCGACCGGGGAAGTCAGGGTATGCTCGCGCGGGGTTGATCCGGTGATGTGAGAAGCAGTGTGGCGGTAATACGGGGTTGGTAATACGGGCGGACGGCTAAAGAAGAGGTTGTAGTAAGAAGGAATCGATATAACATGCGTGCGATTGAATGATTGAATGATTGTATCCGCGTGCCGATACCGGGGAAATCAAGAAGTTTGGCGGCGATTCGCCGTCTCTTGAAGCCGGGAGCCACTTGATTTGGGTTGAGGACAAGGGCAAGAACGATTTCGCTTTGGGGCCTGCTGCCGCACGTGTGTTTTGGGGCGGCAACGGCAGCAGCAGCAGCACGTATTCGGCGCGCGCATTTCTCCTCGACAACTGTTTATGCACACGGAGGACTGGTGGGGAGTGGTGGGTACGTGCGAGGTCAGGATAGCTCAGCACACCTGGTCGCCAGTCGGTCAGTCCAGGCGGCGGTGTAGGGTCCGGCTGCCGGTGGTGATTGCGCCTGCAGGTGCCTTGGGAGTGCGAGTAAGAGTGTTGGAAAAGGTTGACGGCTGGCTGGCTGGCTAGGTGGGCGAGTAATGGATGGATGGATGGATGGATGGATGGACGACATGCGCTGTGCAATATAGACCATCCATCCATGCAATATAGCCTAACGGGCCTTGGGAGAATGAAGGTGACAAAGCTGCGGCGGTGGCAGCTGTCCGGACTCCGTAATTAAGCGCAGTGCAGTGCAGCTGTGGACTGACTTATCAACCGTGTGGAACGTGTTGAGAAGGTTGGGTTTGTTACATGGGCCGTCAGGAAAGAAGGACTGCCAAAAGGTCGAGGCCACACTGCCCGACATTTAGGAGTTACATAGGGCTTTCCTTGGAACGGGGCCAGTTGGCCCGTGTGACGGCCTGCAGCTGGCTCCAGCCAACGTGCTGCCTACTTGTATTCACTGGAGGTGTTCCTACCGCTATGCAAACGACCAGATTAATGCCAACAACACATAGTCGAGCTAAAGCCATCAAGCCCGCATCCTTTAGCATTTGCGCCAGGTCGTCGCTGATCGATGAACATTGGTGTTTGGCTTGGCTGTCGGGTCCTTCTACAGTTGTCATGGCCTTTGCCATTTCATCCCGCATCACTCTACAAGTCGCACGGATCAACCAGCGCCCTGAGCAACAAATCGGGTTAAGGGAAACAGCAGAATTGCGGAATTTTATGGTCAGGTATGTCCCGCGTCTGACTATGGGAGTTGCACCCATACGGGTTCCTGCTGGTCGAGGGAGTTAGGCCTGACTTGGATAGGTCTTAAGGATAAGCCAGGACCATGGCCGAAAGGGACCTACGTGACCCAAGGTGGCAAAAGACATGTAATGCATGTACCTACAAAATACCTACGTTTACAGGGCTGTGGGATGTGGTCGCAAATATATTGGTTGGATGGACAGAGATGGAGGCGGGAAGGCACGGGAGTGCTTAGGAGGGGAAATGGAGGCTAAGAGGCAAGAGGGGAGCAGAAGTAAAGTGGAAAGGTGTGGGGGGAAGTGGGAAGGAGAGTACTGAGCGAGGGTGCGTGTCACGCTGTCTGTGGCCCTTGGCTGCCGGCAGCACCTGCCGTTGCACCCAGCTTGGGCAGGACGGCCGAAAAGACATATTCTCAAAAATCGCCCTTCCTCACTTTATGCTGCTGGGCACTGCCAACGAGCTTACAACAGCGGATGGGGAGCAGGAGCGCTTAGAAACGATGGGATCGCCGCACACACTTCCCTGCTGCTGGAAGAAACTTATCAGAAGACACATGTATGAGGGAAAGCATGATCTAAAGGAATGGTGAAGCTTCCCTTTTGCCGTGCTAAATGGAGCCAATGTCGTATTTGCCATGCCGCCCATGCCTTCCATACGGCCGGCCCAGAGTCTACAGCATCTATGGCTTACGCTTCAGATTCTAGGTATACATGGAAGTAGCAGGGCTGGAATGGGAGAGATGCCGACGGAGCTGTGGTTCGTGTGTCTCGTGACTTCCGGCGTTTGGCTGACAGCATATAGACACCTGAATGCCAGCAGCGTTTTGTGAATCAAGTGTAAATAGGTTAGATAACCAATTTATGAATAGATATATGTATGGGTTTCCACGCGAAACTTGGGAAGTGGGGTATAGGAGTCACGGCTAACTGGTAACTACCGATGAAGGTTTCACGGCATCAATGGACATCGAACGGTGACAACTCAAAGTGTATCAGTTGTTTGATTTCCGTGGAGGCACCATCGTAGGCACAATTTCCGAGCGAGTTATGGTGTCCTTGCAAACGGCTGAACTAGCACAATCCTAAGCATTCTGTTAGGTTCCCTGCAACCTTGACATTTACAAAATCAATCGACAGAATACCTACATAGGTGAGTTTGGAACACTAGTTATGTTCAATTTGCTAAGGTCGATCGGCTTGTTGGACTGCATACCCCCATAGCAATTGCGTCTGCATCTTAGAAGCGTTGGTGTAAACTGTTAACTTGAGGAGCATGGTCTCTTTGAGGGCAGATATTGAAAAGAGGACCACTTCGGCCAGCTATGTCCTTTGCTGCCTTTAAATCCGGTGGATCTCCGCATAAGCGCCTTCCTCTGTAAGCTTCTCACTATCAATTAATGTAATCCCGTGATCAGCGTTATGCGGCCGCAACTTCCCATCCCTCGTGACTATCCAGGGCAGCAGTTGACTCAGGAGCAGCCCCCCAAAACGGCAGATTCATCATATCCTTCAACCACTCCCTGGTGTCCATCCCCTGGTTCTTGCTCCGCCAGCCCTTGAACAGCCTCGTGCGACGGTTGCGCTCCAGCCCACCTAGCACTCTCCGGCGGAGGCAAGCTAAGGTACCACGCGCTTCTACAGCTGTTAAACAGGAGTAGCAATAAGTCCTCACGCGATGCCAGGCAGATGCCTGGTCACGCCGCTTCGGCCGCCAACACGGCTGCTACTGCCGCCCCGCACCTCCTTGATGCTGGTGCTGGGCCTCTTGTTACTGTTACACCCGCAGCCACAGCGGCTTCTGCAGCTACCGGCTTCCTCAGCTGACCATGCTCCGGCGGGGCTGACTTTTGCTGCCGCGTTTCCCATTAAGAAACATGTCTCCCGTGGCACCGGCTTTGCTGGCCGCACCGGCAGCAACTTCTTCAGTGCTGACGGCGTTGTCGACAAGAGCACCGACAACGACGGCGACGCAGACGACACCCGCGGCGGTGCCGGCGGCGACGACTCCACCTGCACTCAGACCTGCTTCACCGGCCTTGCCATCGGCAGCTCCGCAACATGTAAGGCCCACGAGTTCGACCCTGGCATGGTGTACATGTTGACTGACGCGCGCACGCGTCGTGCGGGGCAGTCCTTCTTTGGCGACCGCACCCGGCTTCGTGCCGCCCTCAAGCGCTACCGCGACGGCGGTAACCTAACCGTGGTCACCATCGGCGGCAGCATCACTGCCGGCCAGGGCGCCGTCGACGCACCGTCGTACCCGAAATGGCTGCAGCACGTGTTGGACGCCAACTTGCCCGACAAGAGCCGCGTGCGGGTGCACAACGGTGCGGTGCCGGGTACCAGCAGCCAATACATGTCTTCCTGCCACAACGTACACGTGCCGAAGGAGGCGGACATCATCTTTGTGGAGTACGCCGTGAACGATGACGAGATGCCCATGCCGCACATGAACAATCAGGTGTGCCAGTGTGCTGGTTGCGGATGGGACTCGTGAGCACATGCATCCTTCAGAAACGCCGTTGGAAGTCGTTGGTAGTCATACCCTGGTTAGATCGATCATATTGTTACAGGGAATCGGGATGGTGCTGGGTTTCGGAGCGGGGTTATCGTGTGTGAGGTGTGAGGCGGGTCAGAGGGTTGGCTGGGATGCGGGTGGTGAGGGTTGTCTCCTTGTGGGGTCGAGGGAGGAAAGCAGAGGACGGGTTGTGTTTTCTGTCGTGACGGTGGTGAGTGGGAGGGGGAAAGGACAGACCCGGGAGCTGTCGGGAGGGTTGGGCGCTCAGGGCGGTGGCTTCCTTTGTTGGGACATCCGCACGGTGCGGGTGGAGGCGGAGGAAGAGCTTGACGACAACAAGAGCGCCACTGGCATGCCCACGAACCACCAACCACCAACCCCAACCACCTCTCGCCATGGCAGCTGCCTTCCCTCTCCCCTTCCTCCTCTACCGCCCGCCACACGCTTCCCTCGTGTCCTTCCCCCGTGTCCTTCCGGTATGGAAAAGGTGCGACGGCCGTACGAGAAGTTGCTGCGCAAGCTGCTGGGTTACCCCAACCGGCCCGCCGTGGTGTTGCTCCACGGTTTCTGCTGGTTCCGCATCCCTGTGGAGATGGCGGGTCAGTTTTGGAATAGCGGCGAGCGCCAGCAGTCTGAGTTCGGTCTCTACTACGGGCTGCCCCAGCTGTCCATCAAGGCATGCTGCTACCACCACATGGTGCAAGGTGGGTGTGGCAATGGGGACCAGGTGAAGATTTTAGGAGCAGAAGATCGATGCCGAAGCGGTTTGGAAGTGTGCGCAGGAATCGCGGCGCTGTGTGCGATCGGGATGAGGAACGTGTGTCAAATCAAGGAGGACCGGGGATTACCCGGGCGACGGGTTCGCGCAGAGATTTACGGGTTGGGTCTGGGAAGGGTTGCGGCCTCGGGGGTTTTGAGGTGTCTCGGGTCTGCATGAAACGGCGATGTGGAGTGGTGTCGGGGTGTATTGGATGTGCTTTGCACTCCAGGCCCCCGCGTACTGGATTGGCAGCGATTGGGAGCTGAATGCGGTTCTGATGAGACCGCGCATGGTGTGGCTGGGTGGGGGTAAGGCAGAGCAGATGGAGCGCAGAGGGAAGAGAAATTCACACCCTCGGGAGGAGGCAGACGGGCGCTAGGAACCAGGGGCTGGGTGAAGCGAACGGCCAGACAAAGCGGCCATCTGCTCACCTTACTGCACGTTCTACCACTTGCCACCCAAGTGCTGGCGCTCCACCAACACTGAGCCGTCACCCACCTCGGCTGGCTCGCGGCATCTCCCTTCCCCTTCCCCCCTCGCTTCCCGACAGCCTTCTCGCTCCCCCAGTCCCTGGTTTCACTTCTCCGTTTCCATTTTCCTTTTTCTAACACCCCACCGATCTCCTCTCCACCTCCCCAATTTTTCTCGATTCCCAAACACCACCAAACACCACTCGACACTTGTCGTCGCCAACCAGGCAAGAAGGGCTTTCAGGTGAAGCGCCCGCGTGCCGACACCAACGGCCGTATCCAGCACGAGAACGGTATCGACCTGCAACTGAAGGACATGGCCTTTTACTACGACGTCGTCCACCCGGATGGCCACACGGGCCACAGGGTCATGGCCGAGGTGGCGGGACAGCTCATACTGGACGTGTGGGCGGATGTGAGTGTGGTGCCGTGGCATGGGCGGGGGTGGGTGGGGTGGCGGCAGTGGCAGGAGGAGGAAGTAAGGGGGTTGTAACACCTGGGGTGCTGATGGAGCGGGCTTAAGGTGGTTGGGAAAGCGTGTTGGGAAGGCGTGTTCGTGGCGTGTTGGGAAGGCGGGGGTCGAGTTTGGTTCTTTGGTGCAGCCAAGGGCCCAGGAGCGCTGCGGCGTTTGGGAGTACCAGATCAACCAGGGGGTGGGTGGAAGGGTTTCCCGCGTTTATAAACCCCAGCGGTTTGGTGTACTTTTGACGTCGCCGTCGTCGGGTTGAATCTTTGCTTCCTGTCTCTTATGATCTCCCCCTTGCTCTGCTACTGCTACCTGTTCCTCAGGTCGCCGCTGGCTATGAGCCCAGCGCTGAGGACCTGAGTGTGTTGAACGCATTACTGCCGGCCCCCATGCTGCCCGATAACCTGGAGTCCGCGGCGGACAAGTGTTTCATTGGGCCAGCCTTCCAGAACACGGTGGGTGGGAAACATGGGGCGTGAGATGGGTTGGATGGGGGTTGTGTGGGTTGCGGCTGCGGGGTTGGGGAGCTGCTTCTCAGTAGGTAGGCCAGGGAGAAGGGAAAGGCACGACAGAAGAGGGGATGCTGTGCCGGGGCTTCCGTTTGTTACCGGCCCTGCTCCTGACCTTCCTCCTTATTATCATCAATAACATCTTCCTTCGCGTCCCCGCTTGGCAGGGAAGCCCTTAGTCCTGATTGATTTTGGTTGCTTTGTCAACGCCGGCCGCTTGTGTTTGCGGCCGCAAATGTTGTCGTTAATTGTTGTTCCTGATGTTCCGACGGTTTTTCTTGTCGTGATGGCAGATGATCGAGACGGACGGCTTTGAGTGGGTTAACGAGGGCAAGTCGGCGCATCTGCCCAAATGGGGCTATGTGGGGGATGCGCCTGACAAGTACATCAAGTTTAAGATCAACACACAGAGTACCGGTGCCGATAAGAATGCACAGGTGAGTCTGTTGGGTAGCGGTATATGCCCTAGGGGGCCTTGGGGTGGGAGTGAGAGGGCCGTGAGGCTGGGGGAAGAGCGGGTGGGTCGAGCTGCTCTGCTGGGCGCTGAGATCTGAGGCCTTTGGCGAGTTTCGGCCTCGGTCCCTCCGCTTCCGCCTCCGATAACCTGTCATTCTTTCTATCTTTTCCTATCCTTTTCCCTCCATCTGCGCTTCCTCTCGCTCGGGGTAGAAATGCGCTGTGGTGAAACCCATTCATTCCATCTGGCAGCGGCTGGCCGGCGGTCGTTGGTTGACGTTCGTTCCCCCGACCGCGAACTGGCCTTGATGTGACAGCTGCCTAAACAGAGACCCGTACAACAGCGCTCACAGACACACACGAACACAGACATCGTTCGCATCTTGCTCTCTTCGTTGACCTTTCTTTCTCCGAATGGTGGTCGTCATGTCGGCCTCACTCACACTAACATCCACCTTGCACAACCTGACGCACGAGTTACAACACCCAGCACATATCTGTTATTGCGCCTCCCCTACACGACGAAGTTTTCTCTTCATCCCTCAGCCCCGGGGGTCCCCCTCCCTCTCTGCTTCATTCGCCATTGGTTCGCCCCACCCCCCCTATCCACACGCAAGGGCATGTACACCGACGTCTGCTGATTTACCCTTCAGTAATGTTTTGGCACGCACATGCACATACAAATGCACATGCACGCAACCCTCGGCGGATTCCTGGCCCCTTAGACTCCCGCAGCCTCGTAGCACCGACACGGACCCCGAAAACCTGTCGGCGGCCAAGCCCGCCTAAAAACGCCATGACCCTAAACCCCGCAGCTGGGCCCTAGGAGCGCCTAATAATGGACCCTTGGCGCCGCGTATGCAGGTGACTGTGGAGCTGGGCTACCTGCGCTCCTATGAGAACATGGGTCGTGCGGCGGTGCAGTGTGAGACCGGGTGTAGCTGCACCCCCTGGATCCTGGACGGCCACCACGACCCCCGCACCAGCCAGACCTTCCTGCACGCCTTCAAGGCCACTCAGGCGGAGGAGTGCGTCATCTCGGTGCGCATTGTGAAGGTGAGTGATACATACATACATACATACAAGCGTACATACAAGCGTACATACATAGACAGGGCCCGCAGTGGCGGGGGGGTCCGGGGTCGGGGGGATCAGAGGGGGGGAATGCTAGGGTGTACAAGGCCGAAAAGGCGGGTGGGAGCTTTCTGATTTGATGTGTGCATTTTTCCAAGAGATGGTTTAAGAGCTCCCGACTCAGCCTATGATACCGAGCCGTTTGTAACGCGAGCTCTTGTGCCTTCCGTATGCATCGATGAAGGACTCCCCTCGACCGCAGTCGTTGTGAACCCCCTTCTCCCGCAACAACCGCATTCCGTAGGAAACCACAAGCGGCAAGCACAAGGTCAAGATTACGGGTGCAATGGTTTCGGAAGATCCCGACGCACGCGCGTTCCAGAACTGGGCTGCCTTCGACTGGGTGTCCGTCGCCTCGTCCAAGGATCCCAAGGGTGTGTTTGAGATCAGCAACACGGCGCGTAGGGCCCTCGTGGAGCGCCACGCCGCCTCCTCAGCGGACATCATGAGGAGGTACCACCAGGCCCTGGAGGCTGGAGCTGCCGCCGCAACCGTAGGAGGCGCGGATAATTTCGGAGTCACTGCCGGCGGGGAGCTGAGCGCCGCAGAGGCGGCGGAGCTCTTGGACTAGGGCGATGTTGGCAGTGGCGGCGGCCGCCGCATTGCACGAGGGGCCCCGCGGACTTGCTTGTTGGGAGCAGGGGAGCTAAAACGCGGTCACTGGCGCAGTGTTGGTAGGTGAAAAGTGCGTTGTTTAAAGAAACTGAACGACGTGAAAGAAGCAGGCGAAAAGGATGGGAGCTAGGCGCGATTTTACCTCAGATGTGTGTAGGATTGATTACAACTGAGCCGCGGAGAACTGCGAAGGGAAGGCGGGAAGCGTTTTTGGAGTGGGGACCAGCGTGAGCGCCAGGGACAAAGGGCTGTTATCGTGAGGTAGGGCGTAAGAGGGTACTGCGGAGTGGAGGTACCGTGCTCATGGCAACAGCACTGGAGTGCCGCCTTAGGGAGCTTGTGCGGTCCAGGGACCCCGCGTAGCTGCTGGGCTAATTACCAGGCTGTCTGGCCGTCAGGCTGAATAGTGGCGTACGTTGGTTGGATGTGCATACGTTGTCGTTTAACGTAACAGCACTGCTGCGGTTGTGTATAATGGCATGTTTAGCCTTAACCACCACAAGACGCATTCCGGACCATTGCATGGCGACGACGCCCTACCTACGAGATCCTCGTCATGGGGATTTCAATTCGTCAATTTTATCGTTCAGAATCCAGCCTCATATTCTGCAACCAATCCTTTCCTCTTATGCCGCTATGTCCTTGGTGCTGTGAATTGGGGTATTGCTACGGTATCATTCATTTTGTGCGACTCACGACTTCCCTTCGTTTGGCGGCCATCCTTGGTTGAGCACGTGGTGGCGAGTTCGCCCTAGTTGCCACTTGCGCATTGCCCGTTTTACAGACCTGATCAGCTGACCCGACCAGTGGTCGCAGTCCACCGGCAAGTGGTGTGGGTCGCTGAAGGCGGCATGGGAATCTACGGCTGTGGTGGGGTGGTAACGGGGGTTGTGACAGTTGCGGGCTAGGGAGTAGCTGGTTCATGATGCTTCTGGGGAGGCAAGATTTCCGGTACAGGGGAGGTGCTGAGTCGGGGATGGATGCTCGGCGGCTTGAGATTTGGGGGATGGACGAGGTGGGCGGCGGGATGGAGAGGGTCGCTCATTTGGGTTGATGTGGGTGGGCCCCGAGACCTGGTAAGACCCGGCATGATTTTGACATCAACATGTTTTAATAATTCTGGATGCGGTGGGCTTCTTTGGGGGAGGAGCGGGGTGTGCGACGCGACGTGGTTTTGACATGTGCTGTGATCCTGGTGTGACGTGATGAATGTTGCAGTAGGGCAAGTACTGCTGAACGTACTGGTTGTCAGGCAGTGAAGGCAGTGAACCATTTTGTAAGGACGTACAGGCTGTTTGCAGCGTGCGAAGTTTCGGAAGGATAACCAAGGTTTCCCGCAAACATTGCAGTTGTACGCAAAGTGGTTTCGGAGGACAGTACTGGAGCGGTCGGCATGGGGTTAGAAGCTGCGGGTGTAAGGAAAGAGGGTACTGGTCGAGTTCGTTTGCGTGCGCACGTTGGCCAAGAGAGGGGGCCTGTACGCTGGGTCGTCGTAGTGGACTGCCGAGCCATTGTGAGGGGCCCACATACGTTTGCGGTAGGCCTGTTTCGGTGATCCCCCCGGCACGGCCACGGCAATGTTAATTGCCCCTCTGGGAACGTAGAGTGTAACAACATAGATCTTCGTTGAAAACTGTTATATATTTGAGTTGAAAGGACATTGTGTATGTATATGTGGTGCTTACACGAAGGCGCTTTGGTTGCAGCCGTTTGGGAGGGGTTCGCATGTCGCAAGGGGCATAGCCCCACAATAGATTGGCGTTTCACTTTGCGTTTGTTTAGTGCTGCAACGGCTGAATGGTGTCATGGCAGACGCGTCGGAATGTTCTGTTCTGTTTATGTTACAAACTCACAAGGCCCAGACGAGCCAGGAGGCCCATGGACCGCGAGTTCTAGCGTCGCCTGAAGAAGGAAGAAACAAAAAAGGGAAAGAAAAGAAAAAGGGTTTGTGAACCCCCTTTGCGAGAGAAAACAGTAAGCGACTTTTTTTCAGGCTTGTGCTCGGCTATCGGCGTGTGTCGCTTCGTCTAGATGTTGTGTACGACTATCTCCATGACAGACCCCGTGTTAGGCACGGGCTCGATATGAGCCTAGCGTACACCTAGGGGTTGAGGAGCCCTTCCCGCAGGTCGTTGTAGGCGGGATACCCCTAGCAACACATGAAACCCATCTTTTACTCCATTATTATTGCCACAAACCCTACACCAGCACTCTTGGTGTGGCTGACCGCTAACCTCCCCAGTACGACTGGTCGGTGCGAATTTCAGATGACCGTAATTCAAACAAGAATTACTCTCGCTCAGTTGAACAGACAAACCAGGGACGCAGGTTCAAGCCTTATACAGACAAAGCCCTATGTCATACGCAGCTATGGACTTCCGCAGCAGTGCGGTGTTCGAACGACGAACTCGACCAACAGTAGTCGCAAGCCGTCGGACGAACTAAAAACCGACAGTCAGGTCACGGAGCCGCAAGCTTTGCAGAAAGCTTACAGTAAACAACACTAAACAACACACGATTTTCCGGTATCCTCCCTAACCCAGAGAGATGCTTCAGAGACGTGCATTGCAGCTCGACCATGTGATTCTCTAGAAACCTTTCGAAGTAGCAGGATGGCCCATGCATGTTGGGTGGTCGTTCAACGACCTGGAGGATAAACTGCGGTCCACAAACCTGGACGCCATATGACAGAATGGATCTATTTTGCACTTTAAAACACTTGAGCGCTATATTAGGCAGATACAGTTCCTTCCTACTGAGGTTGGCTATCAGGGCATGTGTGGCTCCCCTTGAACAGAGTCGAAAGGTTCCCCCAGCCTACCGTTTGCTTTCACGTGCACGCTCACTCTCCTGTAACAGGCCCTCAAGAGTCTTCAGCATGGCGCCGTGTATACCGTACTCCTTAAGTATCAGACAAAGCAGGCGATTTGGAACACGATTAAAAGCTTTCTCAAAATCAACCTGACAGACAAAGAGCGGGAATGTATTGTCAGGGCCATTCCTGTGCCGGTCAGTAAGGTGCCAGAGCAAGAGTAGGTTGTGTATGGTGCCTACCTTGGCCTGGAAACCACCCTGCAACAGGAACTGGCAACCTCACCCCATTTGCTCAACCGGCGCTCCAAAACATGAGCATAACACTTCGCCAGGGCGCCACCCACCGCAAGACCACGATACTTGCTCTTATTGTACAAATCGCCTTTGGTGTCAAGCAAGGCACTTCAAACTGGCTAGGGTAGCCCTTCGTACTATGCATGTGTTTAAAAAGCCCATGAACGAAGGGGGCAATAAAATTCATGGAGTGCCTGTCCACCTCTCTCCTGGCGTACTTATAGCATTGCACAGGTAGCCCACCAGATTTGTTGTTGCAGAGAGATTTAATCGCAATACCACCTCCTTGAGGGTGATTGGTGAGTTCAGCTCTGCAGCTGACTCCACACGTTGCCCCCCCACACCCATAGTGACATCCCAACCCCGACCATCGCCACTAGGCAATGCCATTAATGAAGCTCATGATAGCCTCTGTATCCTTATCCCTAGAACTAGTCATGCCATGGTTAATTAAGTTGCTGAAGTACCCTCTCCAACTGTCAACAACCACCACAGGATACTCCCCCTGACTGGACGAGTTAATTAACTGCCCAAAAGCCCTTACGACTACTACCGTAGTTATGCAAGAGCTCTTCAAAATTTGTCACCCGATAGGTCTCTCGCGCTTCTCTGAGCAACCGCTGATATTTCATACAAAACCGATAGAACTCCAATTTTGCCATCTGGTCATCTGAGCATAGCTTCAGCCTGCATCAGTGCTTTGTGCGACAATTTAGCCAAGCCAGCTTCTGCACATCTTCTCTCATCCACCAGGGGGTGTCACTCTGTTCACAAGTGCATGCTTGTGCGCGCCTCCTACCCTATTACCTGTTGATGCCACAGCAATACCTAAAATCTCCAAACTAGTCACTTTGGTGAAAAGTGAAGGCGAGGATATGTAGAGATCAGCTAGATGCTTTTAATCTCCGCATAAGAGAGAGAAGTGGGCTCCCTTTCCAGGTCCCCACAAACACGGCCATTCAGAATCCTTACTTCCAATCCTCTGCAGAAATCCGCCAGCGCCCTGCCAAACCCATTGCTCACAATGTCTTTGCTATGTCTGTCAGGATTGTTGCGGATCATTTCTGAACTACCCACATGCATTTAAGCAATTCTTTCAAGTTTGGTGTCAGCATCCTGGTCCAGCACTTCATGTAGCCTGGCAACTCTAGGATTAAGTTCCCCAAAAACGAGAAGCTCATTGTTAGGCGATTCATAACATTCAATGAGCGACTTCAGGCACCCAATCACCTTCTTTGTTGGGTCGGTTCCTTATCACCATCCCGGGGTTCGGTAGAGCTGTGGGCTTGCTGGTGCGGTGTAGCAGGCACCTATAACATATTGTGTTCGTTAAGCTCGAGAAATCGACCACTGATCCATAGCCAAACACTGTCCATGGCCTTCAGGGCCTTGGAAACACCAAGCAGGTGCTATCCTGTGGTTTACCCCAAAAGCCACTTCCCCATAGTGTTATATCTAACCAGACCACAACTGGATGGTGGCGTCGGAAGACACCGATTGGAAGGGTTTTGTCCGCTTAAATAGCGGGGATGCAGCCATCCCATGATTCGTACAGCCAGTTCCGAGATGGCGCGGTCCAGTCCCGGAATGGTGTACCGTTGATCCATGCTTCCAATCGATGACGGGGCTCCGCGAGCCAGGGACCAGCGTCCCAGTCGTAGCCTGCGCTATGACCCCCGCCCATACTTCTGCAAGTATGGACTTCCGCCTGAGGCGGCGTTTACTTGTAGGCATCCATGAGAGCGTCCCCCTCGCCGTCTGACCCAGAGGCCGGAGCCATAAAGATCTGACAGAAAGGCGGCAAAATAGGCAGTTGGAATTAGGCAGTTAGTTCCCGCGAACTTGTCCAGCAACCGCGCCAAGCGAGAAAGGAAAACTTAGACAGAAAATGTATCAGTTTAGGACCAGATTTAAGAAGCGACATACAACACATAGCGAGCAGTACCAGGAGTGATAAACAACTCAGATCCTTGTGGCAGCAGTTCCAGTAAAACCTCGTCACCCAACAAATGCATTTCAGTCATGACAAGTACGTCATACTGTGTGGCTATAGCTGTAACAACCCATTATTCTCCAGCTTACACGTTTTCACGCCTCTGACATTCCACTGTGCAATGTGTTGCGGTGCTGCTTCCTAGTTCGCGCCTCTCTACACACCTTCCATTTGCGCCTCGGGCATGGTGCCATGTGCGGGCCCACCACCCGCTCCCACAGCCCTGCCTGCTCCACTGCAGAACGTGCATGCTGTTCGTGTTCATGAAGCTTATGTCTACCCCATTTCCCATCAGACCCGCATGTTCTGCTCATGAAGCTGGGTGCATATGGGGTACCACATCTCCACCCCACGGGTCAGAGCATCCTTCACCGTGAAACTATATGTGCGTAGTTATGTGTGCGTAGTTATGTGTGCGTAGTTATGTGTGCGTAGTTACGTGTGCGTAGTTATGTGTGCGTAGTTATGTGTGCGTAGTTATGTGTGTGAAGTTATAAAGCGTACCGCCCAGAGATGCCAGCTCTTTCCGACTCATCGACGCGATGTGAATGTTAACCAGCCAAGTGGGTCCCCACCCCCTGTGACCGTTCACCTGAGCAGTCCCCGGCTTTAGCACGCGGGGCAGCATGTCGAAGGAGATCTTGGACCCCAGGCGGGAGGCCTTAAGGTTTCCCCAAAAATGCTCGCGGTCGTGGCAACGCGGTCCTAGGGCACCTCGAGGAGAAACCTGTCCGGGTGGAACATAATGGGTCCCGATTGTGGTCGTGCGCGCTGCTCCTCTGCTATACTGGGACGCTGATTAAGATGCCGTAGCTTGGGGCATGCCTCCATGACCGCCAGTTCTTCAGGTAGTCCAGCGAGGTATTGCCGAAGTAGCGGGAAAATCTGTAGGAACTGAGGCATCACCTCAGAAATCGGTGCTAAGCAGTTCTTATCTCAGCTATGTTATTTGAGATCCTCCATTTTGCCACCTGTTAAGCGTTCTGGTGTGCCCCCGGGCAGCCACTTCCTGCCGCACTTCCTGCAGCACTTAAAAGTATCCTTCTTGTGCTTTCGAATTTCCTTTATCCTTATTTGGAGTGCTATTTGGTTCGGTCCAACATGCAGCTACTGACGGACTGACCAGATGCAGAACGTGGGCAATTCCGTACGGCAGCCCCGGTTGACGACGACCACGAACTGGTCACAACGCTTGGTACAATGCCACACGGTCCACACGGTTCATGAGTGAGAAGCAAAGTAATGTGTTTACTGACAAAGCCGTCTATCATGTCGAGTAAAATTATGACTTCAAAATGTGTGAGGGTCTACACAGGTTACAATCTGTCATCGCGTCCTGCCCGAAAGGCCATCACCGCTCGAGCAGCAGCAGATAATCAGCTTCTTAAGAAACCTAACCTCACAAGACCTGAGCCGGAGCCGAAAAGGCTTTTCAGCGATGGTACAGCAGAAAGGACACCGTCGACGGCAAACGAATTGCGTGTGACTATCGAATACCAACGGCAACGGGCTAAGGAGATCCGCCAATACTTTTTGGACCAAAAAGTGGAGGTGCAGGCGCAATCCAAGGTCTTCGGCTGGACCCAAAGTAATGAGATTACGAATGGCCGCTGGGTAATGTTTGGACTCCTGGTTGGGATGCTGACTGAGTATGCCACTGGCGTGGATTTTATCAATCAGCTGATGTTGATGGTGTCATACCTGGGCATCTCTGATTTCGATTGAGTTCTCAGGTATCCAATGGACATTGATCGCGCTGGTTGTCATGCCGATGTCTGAGGTCAGCGTCCTGCGTCTTCTGGTGGCGGGGATTTTCCAGTGAATAGTCTGTGAGTTCCTTGACTGGTGTCCTTCAATGTGCTGGCAGTGCACCTTTACTGATGCAGTTGAGAGGAACTTTGTGTGAGAATACGCAGATATGTAGCAAAGGGATGGTGTAAGGCGTAATATTAAGTCCCATGTTTCGATCCGATAGGGCGCTGTGGCAAATTGATTGTCGTTTTTGAAAGTGTTCGTGTGTTGTATGGCAGGATTAACAATTGGATACACCGCGTGGATCATTGTAGCGCTTTAGGATCTGTGTTTGGGACAGGGAGCGTGCCGCGCGGTGGTGTTGGGTATGTGATGGTCGTCAGGCAGTCGAGGACAAATGACACGTGTTGCTCTGCATACGTGCCGAGCTTGGAAGTTAGGCTCGGTGCCAGAGGTGGCAATGGATGCGGTGATGGGTGTTGAGAACGAACTCGGGCTAGCTCATGTCCTGGATTGCATACGGAGACGTCGATTGCAGTACATAAACGACCGCGGTTCACGAGGCTTTCTCCTATAATAGTATGATTGTCGTTTCTAATTACTTGCTCAATCCTTTATTGTTTCCAGCTCGTCGGCTCATGAGCCGTGTTGGCTCATTTAGGCCGTACAATCGCAGCAAAGCTTGTAATCAAAACGTAAAAAAGCGACTCCTCGGCATTTCGCGCACGGCGTGTAACAAAGCTCGGCAGTTGGCGAAGCAGCAGGAGAATTATCCAACGATAAAGGTGGTATTGATAAATACCGTTTGGTACCGGAAAGATTATGGATAGTTCTTGGATGTACCGTTGGTACGATGACCGTTGGCCCGGTGAGCCGAGGGCCGCCTTAGGGGCGTTACATTCCCCCCCTCTTGAATGCGAACCCGTCCTCGGGGCGCCTTGAGTGAGGTGGATAATTAGGGTAGCGGTACGCCTTTTGCGTACAGTTTCCCATGGTAAGCGCGGATTGCCTCTGGGCATCCTTGGTTGCAGTCCTTTGCGGACTCCCAGGAGTCGTACTCGGGGCCCAGTTTGTGCCACCTGACGAGGTACTCCGTGGTGATGCGGCGCCTGCTGCGAGACTGCCGGTGGGCGTGGATCTCGTCCACGTACCACAAGGGTTCGCCCTCAGCTGCGGGAATCGCAGGTGGGGGTGGCGCGTTGCTGCCAGCCTTGTAGGCGTTGAGTTTAGAGACGTGGAATACGTCGTGCATGCGCAAGTGCGCTGGAAGCTGTAGTCGAACCGCGGCTTCGCCCACCTTGGCAGTGATGGGGAAGGGCCCGATGTAGCGTGGCATGAACTTGCCAAGGCCTTTCGTGTTTTGTGCCCGGAACGTGAAGTTCTTGGTGCTCAGCAGGACTTGCTATCCAACCTCAAACTGGGCTTCGCGGCGAGCTTTGTCCGTGTATTTGGCTTGGCGCTGCTTTGCAGCGTCGAGGCACTTCTCCTTGTAACTGCTTCGCCAACTGCCGAGCTTTGTTACAATTTTGGTATCGAGACCAACCTGTCAAACGACCTCGGAGTCGAGTACTCCATCGCTTCCGCACACACACATTCTAGCTTTTCAAACATTTTCTACCTATCCCACATGGCGAGTCCCGCAAGGAACCCCCTACGCGCCGGAGGCCGACCACGAGCGCTACCGACTGCGCCATGTGGGATAGGTAGAAAATGTTTGCAAAGCTAGCATGTGTGTGTGCGGAAGCGATGGAGTACTCGACTCCGAGATCGTTTGACAGGTTGGTCTCGATACCAAAATTGTAACAAAGCTCGGCAGTTGGCGAAGCAGTTACAAGGAGAATTATCTAACGATAAAGGTGGTATTGATAAATACCGTTTGGTATTGGAAAGATTATGAATAGTTCTTGGATGTACCGCTGGTACGATGACCGTTGATCCGGTGAGCCGAGGGCCGCCTTAGCGGCGTTACACGGCGCCCCAATTTCACCTACAGTTGGTGCAACTCGACATGGAAGTGAGCTATGTTGGCTGGCCGCTGGAGTTCGGTGTGCCATCGAGACCGCCTTTGCTTCGTGCCATCGCAAGGCTTACAACCTTCTGAAAAAGCGAAGCTTCATCTTAATCTGAAGCGCAATGGTAGAGTTAGGCATTATGTGCAGACGGGAGCAAGCGGAAGAACAACTGTACTTCGCTCCTCGTCAACCTTTAAGGTGAGAAATATTCTGGAGCACTCGAGCATGTGCGTCGTTACTTTGCTGAATTATCACTTATTGTGATGGCAAGCTTTCCGCTCTGTCGACCTGCGCCACCTAAGCTTCGCTGCGTCGTCACAGATCCAGCTCATTAAGCCGACCGGAGCAACGAGTGAAGAGTCTTATGGCAAGCTTTTGGTTTACCTGCCAGGTGAGGGTTTGGAGTGCCTGGGCTCGACTGCGCTTGACAACCGCATTTTACTGTATCGACCTGAGACTTCGTGCACCGCGGCCGCGCAAATGCTCACGCTATATTTCGTGACTGTTCGCTTTAAACCCTCAGGGACAGATGGTACGGGTCAGGCGATTCTCCCGCAAATCCCGGCGCTGCACGGCCTGGGTTACGATGTATGGTAAGCAAATGGCTCGGGGTGTATGGCCCCCCTCGCAGGCATCCCTTTATGTTACCTACTCCCGTCTCATTGGGTTAGGCATTCCGGACGAGCCCATTTCTCTTGACAAGGTTGCCTACCTCTGCACCGGGACTGGTCACTAAGTTGCGTCACCCTCCTGTACAACCCCCACTAGGTGCCTCTACATGCCCCCGGATGATCGCTCCGACTGGGAACAGCTAACAACCCAACTGACGCTGCTGCTGCGCCAACTACTGACGCACTGGCAGGCGGCTGCCACGGCGGCACGCCAGGTTGCGACACCTCGCATTACTATCGTCGCCGAGTCGTTTGGCTGCTGCCTAGCGTTGCGATTGGTGGCGTCAGGCGCTGGGCCGGAGCTGCTGGACCGGTATGTTAGCCTAAGGAAGGGAAACGTGTCGCAGACATGTCGGCCTGTGCGCCACGGCAAGCGAGAATCTTCTCTTTCTCCCTTGGCCTGTCAACGTGTGTTGGCTCTTCTCACGTTATGTTGGTTGCTATTCCCTACACCCCAAACCAACCAGGCTGGTGCTGGTGAACCCAGCCACATCCTTCAACGACTCACTGAGTGGCCTGTCGTCGTTGATTGCTGCCACCAATCTGCTGTCCCTCTTTCCGAGGGACTGGTACGCAGTGGCCCAGGTCAGTCGCTCCCTGGCGCATGGTGCAAGGATAGGGACCTCCAGTGAGGGCAAAAGCCAATCGTGAATTGCACCGCCATTACAAATTGCCGCGTTTTTCCGCTCGGAACGTCGCCGTGATAAGCAGCGATCCTGTTTCTCATAGACGGCTTTACCATACTGTTTGCATTGCATTTAGCACCGGGAAAATTTGGCAGTATAAGCCTACCAGTATCCTGTATATTTGGCAGTATAAGCCTACCAGCCAGGTCTTCATCCTTCCACTCCCGTACATTCTTGTAGCTTACACCCCCCCGTTGTGCGTCAAACACGATCGCCCCTTCCCACAGAATACCTTGCTGCCCCTCCTAGTGGACGGTGAACGGGTGGACGAGGCCAACCAAAGGCTGCTGCAATCCATGATTCTTATGGAGCCACCTCCAAGTAACCAAAGCTTCGGCTTCGGAGCTGCCAGGCCGCCATATCCGGCCAAGGGGCCATTGGCGTCGGCAGCGCAGACTGCGCTCAATGGCGGTGCGGCGACCGCCGCCAGCGCTGCCAGTGACGGCAGCGGCGCACTTTATTACGCCCCAGCTGCTGCCGCAAACTTCAGAGCCAACTTGTTGCGGAGTGGAGACCCCGGAGAGGAGGTGTTGCGAAAGGTGGAGATGCCTGTGCTGCTCATCACCTCGGCCAGGGACAGATTGCTTCCGTCCATTGTGGAAGGTGATAATGTTGTCGAGCTCCGGGTCTGGGACCTATGTTACTGCACTTTTGCAAGTGCCTTAAAAGCTTGTGCGCCGCGCTCCTCCGCAGGTGCCCGTTTGGAACGTGTTCTCCCGAACGCTAGGCGGTGTATCCTGCCGGACAGCGGCCATGCGGCACTACTGGAGCGCGGAATCAACCTGGCGGCTACCATGCAAGCGGCTGGCTTTGCCGATGATGTTGTTTTGGCGCCGGTCCAGCCGACATCAGGCGCAGGCGCGACTGTAGGGACTTCGGCCGTTGCGGCGGGGCCCCGCCGTAGCAAGCTCCGGGCCGAGGCTCCGGTCGCAGGCGCGGCTCCAGAGCCTAAGGCAGCCTCCGCAGCTCCACCGGTCGCAACATCGATTAATGCATCCAGTGCTCGGGAGTCGTTGTCCATTGCCAGCGACACGAGTCATCCTTCGGAAGCTGCTCTTGCAGCGGCGGTTCCAAGTGGAGCTCTGGTGTCCGCGAGTGGATCTGTATCCTCTGAGCTGCCGATGAGGACAGGGCAGGAACGTACGGCTGCCGCCAGCAATGATACCGCACCCGACGGCGATCAAAAAGGCAGCAGCGGTCGGCGTGGCGGAAGCCGGAGGTCCACTATTGCCGAAGGCGGGGGATCAAAGGTCGCGGCCAATGAGGAGCACCCGGCGGCGGCGGACGTTGACAGCGCGTTTGATGAGTGGTGTCAAAAGTTGGCGCCATGGCGGGTGAGTCCCGTGGGTCGGTGCACTAGAAACCGCGTCCTGGACATGGAAGCATGTCATCACTTGGAATTGGTGTCTTGTGAGCTTAGTCTACTCAAAAGGCTGCGTTACATGGGCCACATAGTGTCCCTTTATGCGTGCCCGCAACCTACATAATCGCCGTGGGATGTGGCCAGTGAGATGGGAAGGGTGTCCGATTGCAAGCATTTCTACAGATAGGGCGGTTCCTCACATGCCGACTGGCAGGGACGCACCCTCCGGGGTGATGTGCGGCACCACAGCCTTAGCTGCAATAATGCTGCAACCAGCGGCGAAGCACCATCTTTTGTGTGTCATCACAAATACCATTGTACAGACCCCGTACGTGACCAGTCGGGCCGTGTGTCGGCGCGCCTGGGCGGCGATGATGAACCGAAAGTTGCGCAAGGGCTCTGACCCCACGCATCTTGCGTGTCCGCGTGGGGACTCGCTGACGAGATCTCAAGCACTCGACTGAGCCGCCCTAGGACCCAGGCCGCTGCACCCTTAACGCGCATGTACACACATTCGCATGCAACATGTGGTGCTCTGCGCCAGTATGGGGCCCCGCCAAGCCCGGACGCACTCGCCTGCGGATTTTCATTGCAGCAGTCTGCCTGCACTTCATCACCATGACGTCAAATCCGTCGGCCACAGTCGCCGGTCATCACCACAGTGCTCGTCGTATCATAACTTCTGCTGCCGACCTGGGTTCTCTCTGTTCGCGGTTTTCACGCCTGCCAGGATGTGGTTTCTCCAGTGGTGCTGGGCTTTGAACACTTGCCGCCGCCTGGCTCGCCGGCTTTCTCCCGTCCGATGCTTTTCGTGGGTAACCACCAGAAGATGGGCTTCTATGACACACCTCTTCTAGTATACGAGTTGTACGTACGAGGTTACAGGTGCGTGGCGAGACGAGGGGATGTGTGCTCGCGCAGGTAAACGAATGCAAAGCAGCCCCATGGGCTTGTTGATGCCAGCATGACGGCTTGCGAAACAAGGCGCAGGTGGCAGGTCCCTTCCCGTTGTGGTATCATGCGCGTTTCAGGCCCCGCTGTTCAACGGTCCTCCCCAACCCTCCGCCTCACAATATTTCAGCTCTGTATTCACTATCTTCTTTTCCCATTGCGGTTATAGCATCCCACGCGATGGAATTTCTTTAACACAACTACGCCACGGGGTGCTAGCTTTGCAGCGCTGTCGAACCTTGCATGTTACACCTTGCTTGTCTCCGGTCCCAGGGTTCGCGGCCTGGCGCACCCGGGTCATTGGGCGGGACCCTTCGGCCGCTGGTTTGAGAGCTTTGGCTCCGTGAAGGCCTCGCCCATGGCCGCCTTCCGGCTGCTCCGGGCGTCCGAGAAGGTGCTGCTGTTCCCCGGCGGAGCCAAGTAAGTGGAGTGGTTGTGTTCTTGCCTTGCGCAGCGCTGGGCTGGTATCGGGCTGCTCGAATAGAAGCCCGGCAGTGAGTGCTAGACTGAGTCATTGGGACAACCAAATTTCCGTGTTTGGCAGCGCTTTGTGCGGAGGCAGCTCTGTGCTCCGGCTGATGGGTCGATGCCGCGGGTTCTTGAATGCGGATGTTGGACCGCGCAGGGAGGTGGTGAAAAAACGGGGCCAGGAGTACAAGCTGCTGTGGAAGGAGAGCCCCGACTTTGTGCGGCTGGCTGCCAGGTGCAACGCTCTCATCGTGCCCTTCGCTGCAGTGGGTGCAGACGACGCTTACGACGTGAGGCGGCCTCCTGATGACGTGATGAGCTGGTCGGGGAAACCCCTTAACTAGTATATATTTGCTGTCAATCCCCGCAACGCGTGGTGAAACTAGCACACCCCGTTCGTGTAGGGACGAATGTGCAGCAGGTTGCCACACTTGTGCACCACAGGTTGCATGTTGTGCTCATCACGGCACAGCGCACCGCCATTAATCACGGCCATTTTCTCCAATTGACTTGGCTTGTGTGTGCGGCCGCGCGCATGATGACCTCTTGGCACCGCAGGTGATCATGGACACGGACGAGGTGATCGCACACCCTGTGCTGGGTCCCCTCACCACAGGACTGCTCAGCCGCGTCAGCAACGCCCTGGATCCCGTGGAGTCCATTTTCCCAATAACCCGCATGCCAGGTGCGGTGCGGCGGCGCGGGGGCACAGCGAAGAAAGAAGGGGCATTTGTGCACTGGGTCAGCTGGCCAGGCTTCACCACAGGCCCACGCAAGCGGCTGTGCTTGGCGCATTACGTGGTGGAAAATACGTGTTGTGAAATTAATTGTACATGGGAGCGAGCACGCGGCGCTCTGTCAGGAGGCGCTGTGTTTCAGTGTGCACGTCCATTCGGGTTTCCCATTCGGGTTGTGCTGGGCGCCCTTGCTTCTTTCGTCCCTTCGGGCCGTTCCCTAGGATGTTTTAGCTGTCAAGTTTGGCCTTGGCCTTGGCCTTCAGCAACCTGCGCCAGCCCATTAGCTCAGACACGTCCAGCGGAGTGGCGGAAAACACTGAAAGCATCGTGAATTTCAGGTTCCGTCGCCTTATTCCATCTTTTTCACCAGCATGTTTCCTATTCCCTTGTCCTGTGTTGGGCACGCTTGCGCAGTGGTGGGGCTGCCGACGCCCATCCCCATCCCCAACCTGCAGCGGCTCTACTTTCAGTTCGCACCACCTGTGGACCCGCGGGCCCTAGGTACCAACATAAACGACCCGCAGCAGGTGAGCTGCACCCAGCCAGTGAGCAGGGCTCAGTGAGCAGGGAGAGGATCCGCTGGTAGTCCTTTTGTGTGTAGCTAGGGTACTTCCTCGACTCGAAAGGTAAATGTTTTGGACAGCAAAATGAATGGCGTGCTGGAGTGTCCTTCCTGATGGAGGATGGTGAGGTATGGCCATCTCCGAGAGCAATGAGGTGCATTTCTTAAAACGTGGAAAGGAGGTTACGATACCCTGCGTGGCATTTAGAGTCCGTCGTTGAACATGGGAATGGGCGTCTAGAAGTGAGCACGTGGCAAATGTCGTGTAGAAGTTAGGCATTCGGTAACGTTGTGCTTCCCATGCCGGCTGGATGCAGGTACAGGAGCTGTATGACAACGTGAAGGGAACGGTCACGCAGGTAAGAACGGGCGCACTGGATATGGGGCTGGATACTGTGTGCCACATGCAATGTGGGTCTATGAGAATAGCCGGGTTTACCGGGCGAGGGCTGCCGGTGGCCCGCCACGCCGGTGTGTATTTGTGGGGACCGAAAGTCCAGCAATTCAGGTTACTGCTTGCCCTGGATAACAGAGGAATCCGTGTTTTGGACACGACGCTTAGCTCTTGGCGCGTGACTGTAACTCGGGGTGATGTCCGCGCCGTCCACGCTGCCAAGAGGTGCCCTGCTCTCACTCAATGCCCCCTCAGTGCATGGCCGAGCTGCTAGCTTTCCGAGACGCAGACGAGGAGAGCCAGGTGGGGGCTCGCCTCGCCAAGTCATTGCAGCGGATTGTCCCAGTGCTGGGTTAACAGCATTGTACCTGGTTATCAGAGCGAGCGTGCTTTGTGTATGCTTTCGAGCGGGAGAAGATTGAAGGGGAAGGCGAGGGGACCTGGTATTTCCTAGGACCTGGCGAGCACGACTTCTGCACCCTTACATGGGGACTTGTGATAGTGACGCTTTAAGGTCGCTGTTCCATCTATTTCTTCGACGTATGGACTATGTCGGCCGACCATGTGCAATTTTCAAAGACCCATGAAAGGTTAAATGTTGTGATTCGTGTTGTTGGTCAGGACTCCCCTCCCGGAGTCCCAATGTTGTTATGGATATCCCACGTGCTGTTCGTATGCTGATTGACCACCGAAGGTTTTGACGAGTGATTGGTTTCAGAGTGGGCTGCGATATGTGTTCTGTTATCTGTTTGAAGGCCACATAGTGCTCGAGTGTATGGTCGAAGAATATATCTGTTAGGCAGCACGTTTCACCGGAGCTGCCGTATGCAATGAAATGTGTTCCAGTCCTTGGCGTGGCGACTTAACGTGCCGCGGCAAGATGTATCGGGCAGCTGGGTTGGGTGGGCTTCCATCGATGAGCTTGGTGTTGCCGGCTATCGCGCTGCGTCAGCGTCGCCACTGGCAACTTGTTTGATACGTGATTCGTATTTGCCTGCAAAACCTCACTGGTGCTGCACCGCACACACGCGTGGGGGATTTCGTTTGTGATCTGCCATCGCAGTAAAGATTCTCGTAATCTTCCCGTAATCTTGGATCTAAGATTCACTTCCGTTGAGTTGAGGGCATCCGTGGCTTAAGTTGGATGGCATTGTACACTTTGGACGGCTTAAGGAAAAGCCCTTTGGAAGCCTCTATACGGATGGCTGCAGGTGCACCGAGGTAGGTGCTGAAGTAGGTTGGACATCAGGAGGGCGCGTTGGTTCTCGGGCATGCTTCCACGGTGGGCACTTTCCTTCCTTAGGTCTCGACCACTGAGGTGTTCCGTCCTCGAGCCTCTGTGGCCTTTAGCTGGACACAACCCACACTCCCGTGCCATGGGTACCAAAAGTCCTTGGAAAGTCCTTGTGAAATTGGGGCGAAAGGGCCGGACCCCAGATGCATGGCTCTATAATACTTGAATGTCCAGCGCACTTACATGCTCATCCTAAGCGCGTTTGATTTCGGCACGGCCTTTCCTGCCATGTTTTGACTCCCGCACTAAGCTTGGCATCACTTCGCATTCCCAAGACCGAGCACGGCATTCGTGCCACAGAGTTACGGAGCGACCTACGTGACCACCTAAAAAAGTTCCAGGATCGATGTGCATCCGCGTCACATCCGGGGCCCTAGGTCCGTCCGCGCAGCGGCACCCTCCCGGGGCCTGCGGGACCACTGCCAGCTGAGAGGTGCACTCTCCACCCCACGTGTGACAGGCAAACACCACCTCAAAGCAGTTGTCACCAGCTACCGGCATGTTGCAGAGCCCTCAAAAATGTGGTGGTGCTTCCTGTTAGCACCGCGCCGATCGCGCTGTCAGCCCATGCTATTAAGGGCCAACTGGAGCCAACAAGATATTGTTCTGTGTGCATAGCCAGAAGGAGAACGGCCCAGGTTACTTCACACGGTACCACTGCGGCCAGCACAGCGGCTTGCGAAAACCCCAATTCAAGGGCTGCTGCACAAAAGGATGCACGAAGGCAACTTTCTTTTGCTTGAGCAATCTGATTTCACACGTTTATCTAAGTACTGTTAACCGAAGCGCGATAGAGGCGGTGGAGACGGAGCGTTGGCTATCCCCTCTCAGATTGGTGCCCGGATTGGTAATCGAGAAAAAATTTCCCGATAGCACGGCATAGGGGCAAGGTGCCAGCAGGTGTCTACAGGGACTCCAGCTAACCATTGCATGCATAAAAGTACCATTGCATGCATAAAAGTGACATCGCATGATTTGTAAAAACGTACGACGGTATCCTCACGTTTGGAGGCCAATGCGACCCCGGCACGTGCGGCATGGTGCCGTGCCGCCGAACCCGTAAAATTATAGGCAAAAGCTATTTGAAATGTATGTTTTGTACTTGCATGTGACCGTCAAGGCGGGGCTTTCCGAGTCCGTTCCGCGTTAACAGAAAACAAACTGAACGGCAATAAACAGCTATCGACTGTCAACAAGGACGTTCTTTTTCAAGTTCGTGCTAAGCAAACAGTGTCACTTTCGCACGGAGCGATTACGGCCTTTCCCTCAATTTAGAGGCTCCGTAAAAATGATGCCAGCGACCATGTCCCTGTCTGGCAATGCCAAGGTAGGCTCAGTGGAACTTGGGATTGAACCAGGCATTCTTCCTATAATTCCAATTAGTAGCCATGGAAACGGGGACCCTTGGTCGCCTCTTGGTCAGCCGCCACGTCCCGGAAAATGCCGGTCACCCGAATCCTAAGCGCTGACAAACATCGGCCTTTTCTTTTTCAGAGCATCGTAACAAGGACTTGCCAAGCTGGGCCCTGCTTGGCGCCGAGACCCGCAGGTGTGGTCGATCGCCCCTGCCCCTTACGTATGAACGTTAGGAGCCTTGTTTTTTTATTCAACAATGCGCTTCGTTATACATCAAATTGCAGCGTCAGCTGTCAAGCATCGGAAGCTATGCGTTCCGCGCGCCGCTAGCGCAGAGCTGGATGAAGTCGCGTTGCTGGAGAAAGCACTCGCGCTGGCTAAAGAGCGGGTGGCCAAGGCGAAGCAGGCCCCGCCGAGCCCCGCCGGGGTGCCCGCCGGCTACGAAGGCCCCGCTTTCACCATAAAAACTTACAACGCCATCTCCCCTGTCGGCCTGGCGCGCTTCCCCAAGGGCAAGTACGTAGTCAGCGGCGACGATGCCGCTTTGCCATCTTCGCCCATGGCGGTCATGCTTCGTTCTCACCAGCTCAAAGCGGAGGAGGTGCCACACACGGTGCGCTGCATCGTGCGCTGCGGAGCTGGTGTGAACAACATTCCCGTACAGAAGATGACGGAGCTGGGTATTCCCGTGTTCAACACCCCCGGCGCAAATGCTAATGCCGTCAAGGAGCTTGTGATATGCGGCCTGCTGCTGGCATCACGAGGCATTATCGAGGGCAACAAGCACGTGGAAAACGTCATCTACAAGGAAGAGAAGGTGCGGGAGTCAATACTGCGGGTTGAATAAAGTAAGGTGCAAATGTTTTCGGTAGCGGGCTAAGGGCGACGCGGGAAAGGAGAACGGGAGGACGCAATTTCTGCATGGTAATCAAGCATTCACTTAAGAGCAAAGCGGGGTGTCCACTTAGTCCTTTGCGCAATTCCAAACTATCCTGTGGCACAATTCATCGGTGAGGGACTGCCGATGGTACCGTGCATCCGTGTGTAGTGGTTGCGATGCGTGCATGATACGGTGACATGCAAGGACTCGTATGTACATGTCTTGGCGCCGCTGCGAATGCGCAGCGCTGTCGCTGTTCCGTCGTGTTACCTGAAGAGCCCCAGAAATTTAATGGGGGTTTGTCCCAATGCCTATGGGCATTGCCGATGTTGGGAGTCTATCCTGACAATGTAATGGGCTCCTGGCGCAAGCCCGTGTGTCTGTCCCTTCCTCTGAACCTCTATGTTGTCTACTGCAGGAGTACGAGAAGCAAGCGAAGCGGATTGAAAAGGATAAGGCAATGTTCGTTGGCACGGAGATCGAGGGCAAGACGCTGGGCGTGGTGGGCTTGGGCGCCATTGGTGGCCGCGTGGTGAACGCTGCTCTTTCCCTGGGCATGAAGGTGGTGGGATTCGACCCGGTTCTTTCGCTGGATGCTGCCTGGAAGCTGCCGGGCGACCGTATGCAGCGAGCAAACAGCCTGGAGGAACTGCTGAAGGTGAGCCTCGTCGTTCTTACTGCACAAGTGTCGGTTCCTCGAATGTAATATACATGGTGCCTGGGAGGGGGTCTAACCCGTGTGGGTCGGGATTGCGTAGCCCCGTATCAGCTGAGGTGCTCACCGGGGCTGCAGGGCTGTGAGTTGGTCAGCCAAGGGTGCTGCCTGACAGGGACGAACACCCCAAGAAAGGCTAAGCGAGAAAATAGCTGTCTTAACGCACAGACGTTCTCTACGCAAGCGGGCATACCTTGGGCGAGCTCAGATGGGTGCATCTGGCTGTAGCATGGCGTTAAAAGATAAGTTGCAGGTTAATGGCGCTGAACATGTCAGCTTTTCTAGGATCTTGGTTGGCAGAAGTATTCTCTCTTGCGGCAAAGTTGTGATTTGGGGAAGGAAACGGTGTCAAATCGCACCAGGGCGAGGGCACGGTTTGACTTCAGTGCAGGCTCAACCGAAATCGGATTTCGTATCCAAATTTCCTCGGGCTTTCCTTTTGTTGCCTTGTCCCTGGCGTTACTAGTAGGTGGTAGATTTGCATGGTTTGGGGTTCATATGAGCCTGTCTTGTTTCGACTAGTTAAGAGGATGCGAGAAACGGAATCCCTGACTTTGACCATTGTGTACTGGTGCGTCAACCTATTGACTGCAGCATGCATGGCGGAGCGCTTAGGCTATGCATATGCACTTCCAAGTGCGCGAGGAGCGTCCCCTTTAACGTCCCCTCCATGATAGCCTCTCTTCCTGGTGCCCCAGGGACACCTTTAGTAAGTAACCCTAAGTAACTTTATTTATGCATCTTATTTTAACTCTTTCCCCTGGTTTCCCTTCCATTCCAGATTTCGGACTACATCACTGTGCACGTGCCGTACATCAAGGGTGCCACGCACCACATGATTAACGGTTCCAACTTGGAGCTGTGCAAGCCGGGCGTGCACCTGCTTAACTTCTCCCGTGCGGAGATCATTGATGGCGAGGCGCTCTTGGATATGTACAAGAGTGGCCGCATGACGGGCAAGTACGTATCTGACTTTGCCGACCCTTACCTATCGGGCCATCCCAGGCACGTTGTCATTCCGCACCTGGGTGCCTCCACCGAGGAGGCGGAGGACAACTCAGCCGCTATGGCCGCCGACACCATTAAAGACTTCCTGGAGACGGGCACCATCCGCAACTCAGTCAACTTCCCACAGGTGGGGTGCGGTTCTCGGCGAGGGGAGTGTGTTTGTTTGCAAGGGGGAAGGAGGGCCGCATGCTGCGCTTATTCAGAACTGAGGGGATCTGTTGGGCAAGTCAGGTGCCAGTCATGCATGGGACTGCAGGTGAAGGTATTTCATGCTTCCTGCCCACTCTCTGCAGACGGTGCTTGACAAGAAACCAGGCCACATTGGCGGGCGCCTGTGCATTGTCAACAAGAACGAGGCAGGCGTGCTGGGCCAGATTACAACGTTCCTGGGTACCCGCAACGTCAACATTGAGCAGCAGATCAACACCTCGCGTGGCGAGATTGCCTACACGGTGCTGGACTTCGGCAAGGTTGAGGACCCCGCAGGCCTGCAGGTGGGTGCTACCTGGGCAGTTGCAACTGGAAGCGAATGATAGTATCGTTACTTTATAGGGCTTGCTTGCGCGTATCGCCTGTATCGGTTGCTGTCGTCGTCTCAGTATACGGTTCGGGGCTTGGTTTTCGGTATTGGCACTCGAAGAAGGATGTGGCCGTCGAGGCATCCCCTGTGTACACTCGCCGTCCCAATTTGCGGATATTCCACTGCTTTTTACGGGAGCAGTTGGTAAAGATCGGTCTCTTCATCGGGGGTAGTGACCGCTCGAGCTCCTGGGGGAACATTAATAATTGCTATTTTTACACATATACTCTAATATACGGATATTTACGGTCTTAACAAAAACACCATTAGCAGAATTTCTGGGATAGATGGTAATTTTTTAATTTTATATTACCTTTAATTTAGAATATTATTGACTTAACATGGAGTTTTTCTTGCAGTTGATAATAGTAGGTCAAAATTAACTAAATAGTCTTTTAGGTTGAATTTGCTACATAATTTAGGAGCACGGAACGCAGGGGCATACGATGCTGACGGCTTCCTGATGCTGTATTCCTCGTTTGCAGGAGGGCTTGGCCAAGTCCTGCCCCGGCATCATTTCGTCGCGCTTCATTGGCAACGTGTTCGATGACGAGCTCGGGAAGCCCGGCACCTTCTTCTACGTCAAGTGGGCGCAGGATAGCAACAGTAACGGGGCTAAGGCTCCAGTTGCGTGATAGCCTAAGAAGATGCGATTTTTGTTCCCTTATCCGTGCTATCATTTGATAGTTGGTTAAGATATTATGGTTCCTCGGAACTTGGAGCGCTCTGCGTGCGTGTGCTGTTTGTTTAGGAGGGTTGTTTTGTGTCATGTTTTGATTGTACAACAAAGCGAGTTGTTGGGTTTAGGAAGGTCGAGGTTTGACTGGGCGGAAAATAGTGACGTAAACGGTAAGGCAGTGATGACCTTGGTACAGTGCCAATACGGTTTAAACTTACGCTGGATCAAGTTTGGGTGCAATTTAGTACCTGTTGGATTGTCATAGTACGGATGTGGAAGGATGGGTGAACATAGCAAACGAAGTCTGGACAGGTTGTTGGGACTGGGCAAACAAAAGCTTGGACAGAACAACGTATCTTGCCCTGCCGGAATAATAGCATGGAGTGACTGTGGAGGAAAGTGACAAATTGTGCCAATCCAACAACCGCTGCTGCATGTCATGTGATACGCGTTTATTACGATCCCTGAATTATGAAGTGGCACGTTGGCATACACACCCTGCCACCGCATTAACCTGAAGAACAGTCTCATAAAGTATCACCAGCCGTGCCACTCAGACCAGATCCTTGTAACAGCGTGTTTCGTTATCCCCAACGATAAAAATTTAGTCTATCTTGTGCTTGTACATTTTGGGAATATTGATTGTCTTGCGAACTTGCACAAAAACAACTCAACCTTATGAAAAATTTATATGTAGCGCACTCCAGACTTCTGTCCACGACATAGCTCATCCAGCTATATAACTTCTTTGGAAGCAGTCCTCTGCCACCGAACCGTGGATGAGACGGCACACCTGACATCCCCCATATTCATCACCGTGCTATGCTGAGAACCACAGCCTTAACCTGGTATCCTAATTTCATTCATCACGACATTGGCTTGGCGTTCCTCAACGCCCCACACACTGCCGCAAAACTATTATAGCCTCGACTTATAGCTCCGACTATCGCTGCCGCTATGCACCGACTCGTAGCTTTATGCTGCACGGCG